GAAATAGCATTCTACCTTGAATATCTATCCCGTACGAGTCTTCACAGGAAAAAATAGGCAACTCCAGTTTCCGGTTATTCTAGTCGCATCGATACCATCCTTCACCACCTTGGTTCCATTCCTCCCCTGAAGGGCTACCTCGCTGGTTCTCATGCATTCTATCTTCAGTATGTCCCCATTAGCTTTGCCTTGATTTGCCAGATTCTCGTGAGGTCTGTGTTCAGTGTGTTCTACCCTTCCACAACTCGAATTGCCAGCTAAATTTCTTCTTCGTTCCTCCTCTTCTTCATCCTTTTTACGCATCCAATTCTGCATATCCATTAAAATCTCCCTCATTGCAGTCACCGTCTCGGTCACTTTGACAACATCCTTCTCAACATTATCTAGTCTATTCTCCATCCTTGTACCAACCATACCGTAAATCCGTCTTGGCTCTAATACTAGTTTGATGGAACCAGCTGAGATTACTCAATCAATTCCACATTCAATCAATCACAACAATCCAAAATCAATCAAGGATCAAAATACAAACAAAGATCGACTCAATTGTAATGATGCTTGTATTAAGGATCTGTGAATTGTACTACAATGAAAGTAAATGTAAAATAGTATTAAGAACAGCAATAAAGAAATGAGCACAGGTTGATCTTCGAGGGTTAGCTCCTCCTAACAATTTCCACTATATTCTCTATGATATCACACCTATTCTTTCTCTTTTCCTTTTATTAAATATATTAGTATTAATTGTACTAATTTAATTATCCCAATTAATATTAAATATTTATAGTTAATATTAATTGAAAAATAAAATTCTTAGTTAGTTGAGTAATATATTTAATATATTAATGCTATTAGGAAGGGGCCTAAATTGAGATTTGGACTCCTCGCCTAGATTAAAGCCTTCTTTCAAATTAAATTTTAGAATTTTAATTTTCATTTAATTTTACTAATAAATTAAGTTTTAAAACCTACACAAACCCGCGTTTTAGCTTCATTTATCGTTTTGAGTTTCTCGGTTTCCTGTTTTGTTTGCATTCTTGGAAGAAGAACTCAATTTTTTGCGGTTCTTCTTATGGAATATGAAGTTTGCGATAGTAACGGTGAGTTATTATTTTTTTTTTCACATTGTTTTGTATTCAATTTGTTATTTTGATTCTAGTTTTGTGCAGTTCTATTGTAATCTTTTATGTGGATTAGGGTTTTTATTTTTCTTTAAAAAAAAAAAAAATTGTTTGCATTATTGTTTGTTGTGGGTGATTTGGGAAATTAGGGTTTAGGTTTTTGATTAATTAGTTGGTAATTCTAGTTATGGAGTGATACGGGGTGTAATTACAAATTAAGGTTTAGGTTTTGTTCTAGGGTTGCTTTTGCTTGAGCCCTTTTTTTGTGTTTTGTTGTGTAAAGGCTGAAGACATATCTTTCCAAGTTTTTCTTTTTTGGTCTAGGCAGGTTTTTTATTTTCATTTTGCTAGACTTATTTTGTTGTGCTTGAATTTTAACTTCTTGGAACCAATTTCTTTTTGGATTATTTTTCCATGTATTATATGTTTTGGAATATATCAATCTCCTTGTGGAAAAGTGTTAAATTGTTAGGAAATGAAGTAACTAACTCTTCATGTTTGTTGTACCGCTGCTCCCCCTGTCATGCATGGCTTTTCCCTTTTTGCCCCTTGCGGTTATACCATTTGATAGTCTGGGGTCCATCACAAACCAGCTTTGGTTTCTGTCTTCCTAGAGGAAGAAAAATTACACATGCATACATAACCATACACATTGATGCTGACTATTCAATAACTAGATATTCACCAAAAAAGAAAACTAGTTTCACAATGTAATGTAATTTGTGCTTCATCGGTACTTAGTGTTGCCATCCATCAGAGAACACTTTCATGACGCTAAACTAAGAACAGGACTAAGCATACAATTTGTGTGGCATAACAGAAATAAACAAAGCAAATTAAAATAGTCATGGCAAATCAAACATCACTATAGGTGTGCTCATTCTACTAATAAACAAGTTATCCTAATTTCAAAAATAGCTACATTGATGATGGTGTTAGGATATTGTGGCTCGCTTTCCTATTTATTCCTACGTAAAATTGTATGTATTTAGGAAAACTATTTAATAAAGAATACAATTGTAAATAGGAATAAAATTATGAGAAACTTATTAGGAATTGGACAATGAATCCTATTAGAAATAAAATATATCCCATATTGTATCTACAAATATATGAGTGAGAACCAATTCAATGTTATGAGAAAATGTGAGAACACATAGTATTTGATGTAAGGGTTATTAAACACCATGGGGAGAGTGTCTTAGAAACTGGGATTGTTTTCACTCTAGGTATTGGGTTGAGCGTGATTAGAAACTAGGATGTTTCCACTCTGTTTTATGTACCGAGTTTATAGTGTTGTGTACTCTTGTATATCATGTTTATGAAACTATAATAGATTTCAATCATTCGTGGATGTAAGCGGGTTATGTCGAACCATGTAAATATCGTGTCTCTTTATATGGTATAATTTTATTCTTACGTCATTAATCTAAAATGTATGTATTCCGTTCCCCGCTCTCCAAACAAATGGAAAACACAAAAAGCAAAAAAGAGTGAGAACGAGCACATGCCTGCAACCCTTGCAATAATAACACGACATCGTTTAAGGAAATCACAATCTCCATGAAATTACTAAACCTAATCAAATCCCTAACATCTTCATTCTTAAAAACTTTAGGAATCTCAAAACAAGCGACGAACAGAAGTAAGCCTCTGGCATCAATCTCACAAGCTTTACTCAAACCTCCTTCACTAAGCAGTCTCTTTCTCCATGCAATAGAATCCTTCTCGACCTCTTGTTTTATCGATTTATCAATCTCAGTGTGGCTCTCGCTCTCAGAAATCAATCTGAGGAAGAACTCTAACACAAGAACCAAAGCCTGGCAAGATGAATCATGGGAGTGTCCTTGGTGTAGGCTTTTTTACCTTGTAAAAAGAGTTGCCCCACACAATCTAACATGAGTTTCACCGGCTTCGGAGCCAATTTTAATGCCGAAGTTGAGTCTCGGCTGAAGGGTTTCAACGTCCGATAGATGCGTGACAAGGTGTTTTCTAAGGTCGCGACTACACATCATCTCACAAAGATAGTGAAGCTCAGAAGACCACGACCGTCAAGTCAGATTGACATTCTTAGTCGGCATTTCGGTTGTGGTTTGAGTATCAGATGGTGATAGAATTTGAGGTTGAAGCGACATTGATAAGAATCCAGCAAAGCCCAACAAAAACCTTCATGGAAACCAAGTGAAGCCTATTGAAGAAATTACTCAAGAAGGTGAGATTATTTCGGCCCAAGGAAAATGCATAGTGGAAGGCAAGAGCAAGGACTCGGCCCAAGGAGATATTATGGCTCAAAATTTGGCCCAAGTAAGTAAAGCCATTCATCATGAGCCTAAGTGGCCCAAAATGGATTTTGACTATTTGGGTTCAATGCCTTTAATTGGATGTAGCTTGATTACTTGGGAAATTTCCCACCAAAAGTAGTTCAAGTATTCAAACTTTGTTGGGAGAATCAAGGAAAGCATATGGGAGCATTAAATGCTAGAGACAAGGGAACACATGGGTGGCTACAAGCATTACCCAATTTGGCAAAAACTAGGTTATAAGGTTTGGGCGATTCCATGTCCTTACCACTTAGGGAAAGTTTAAGAATCTTGTGTTTTAGCTAATCAATGCATGCATTTTTTTATTTTTTGTTTCTCCCATGTTGGAACCCGTGTATGACCAATTCAAATATTAGTCAATTTTCTTCTATATGGCTTAGATTCACTAGGAGTTAGTGCCACTTGTACACCCAAGATTAAATGAAGTTAGGGCAACTTTTGCAACTTTTTGTAAGGCCATTATATAAGGCCAGCTTCTCCTATTGTAAGGTAGTCTTTGGATGAATGAAATTAGTAGTTCTAGTGAGAGCTCATATTAACCTTTATCCAATCTTGCCGAAACGGTTGGTGTGGTTTATCGTTGGCTGGTGGTGATCCTTTAGGCCTTGGAATCATTTTGGCAACCTTGTTTTTCTTTGTTTTAAGTGTTATTTTTGTTGTTGAGTGCAAACACTAGAGTTGGTTTTAAATTGCAAGCTCGATTCCTTGTCAACCAATCTGAGTTCTTCAAGTGTAAAACTCCATCAACTCACTTTATTCACTTACAAATGTATCAGACATCATTTCTGTAAGGCGTTGTAATTGATCCGCATTTTAGTGTGATGGTGAGGTATCATGGCAGAATTTAGCGTCGATTGTGCTTTGGATGGAATCGAGGTGGTTTTGTAAGTCTTGGCATCGGGGCTTGAAGACTTGTACGACAACAGCCAAGTTGCAAAGTTCGTTGATGGATTTTAGAAATTCATGTGCGTTTTATTGCGCCATTGCCATACCGAAACTTAAGATTTTTTAATTGAGTAATACTAGCCTTACAAAGAGACATACAAATAGACAAATTCAACCCTTAAAATTCATGATTCTCTCTCTCTCTCTCTCTCTCTCTCTCTCTCTCTCTTTCCCTTCTTTTAAGGGTTAGATTTGTCTCTTTGTATGCTTCTTTGTATGCCTCTTTGTAAAGCTAGTAATACTCTTTTGAATTTTGGGGTTATTATTGGCATTGCCTCTCGAATTCGAAATTTAAATTTAAACGGGAAAATTTCTTACATTTTAGGATAGATGAGATGGGAGAGTATCTCATTTGTTCTGTATAATTTATTAAATGACATTATGGTATTATATACATTTTTTTAATTTAATTATTATTATAACTGATTACAAATTAATTTATGGGTAATCCTGTATGACAACTCTTAAGTCTTAAGAACACAAAAATATGAAATTTTAATTATATTAATATATATATAACATATCTAATGAAAAAAGTAACATTAACAAAATTAAGCAGCGCAGTTGTAGAGATTAGAGTCTAGAGAATAGATAGACTAGGGTAACAATGCAGTGGCGGAAATGTTCACTGATTTTATTCCAAGAATTGTGCCTATATATTGTTTATGACTTTATTCATTGAATTGAATATCTAAATGTATTAGCTCAATGCTGGAAATACATATAAGCTTCAATTATATACAGCTTTAAATTAAATTAATGAGATCACCTCAACTACAAATAAAACTGCCCACATTAATTATATACACCTATAAAAATACGTCAACTAACTAGAAGATGGATGTTCTATCAGACAATTTCGTACTTTTATCTGATCGATTTGCCACGAATGGATTCCCAGAAGCATCCAAATCAACAATGGCAGTGTCACCTGGTTTGTAATCTCCTGTAAGTACTGCTTCACTTACAAGATCTTCGATTATGGACGTTACTGCCCTCCGAAGAGGGCGGGCACCGTAAGCCTTGTCATAACCTTGTTGGCATACCAGGTCTTTAACTGACTCAGATACCTCCAGCCCAATCCCCAGAGATATAAGCCTTTCCTTCACTTCTTGCAGCATCATATTTAAGATCTCAAGCATCTGAAAAACAAACACACTTTTGTGATTCACCACTTTAAGTGTAAACATCATTGATAGAAAAAGATGAAACTGAAGGTGACAAACCTGATCTTTCTTAAGCGGCTGAAAGACAACCACTTCATCTATCCTATTGAGTAACTCGGGACGAAAATATGTCTTGAGTTCCTCCATTACCAGTGCTTTCATTCCAGCATATGTGCTTGACTCATCATCTTCAAGCAAGAAACCAATGGACCCGCGTCTACCCTTTGCAATTGCAGTAGAGCCGACATTTGAGGTCATCACTATCAATGCATTCTTGAACGATACTCTCCGACCCTGTCAAATCCGTTCTTTACATCAGACTAAACAATTAATTAATTCCAACTAAGGAGAAAATTTATTTATAAAAGGTTTGTTTTTTAGTTGTAATCATATTTTTCCCTCTTTAGATAGGAAAACGTTTTGTATTTTCCGATACCATTGCAATAAAAGAAAAAGGCAAAAACCTGAGAATCTGTTAGGTGGCCATCCTCAAACAATTGGAGAAGGATGTTGAATATATCTGGGTGGGCTTTCTCTATTTCATCTAGCAATAACACTGTAAAAGGCCGTCTTCGAATAGCTTCTGTAAGCATACCTCCCTCCTCATACCCAACATAACCCGGAGGTGATCCTATCAATTTACTCACAGTATGTCTCTCCATATATTCACTCATGTCCAATCTTAGCATGCATGCCTCCTGAAATAATAATGTCAAAGGCAAAGCAAAAAAAAAAAAAAAAAAAAATCATTTCAATGAAAGTGGGAAAAAAGAAGATTGCTCAGAACAACACTTAGTCATCAGTTAAAAAGATACAGAAACCTACAATTTATATACCAAATTATTAATAATGATTATAAAATCAGTGCTGAAATCTCTCGAAATTCTCATTTGTTGTGTACATAATTTGTCTCAGCCATTATTATTTCTATACTTCATTATTCTATGAGATGTTTACAATAATTAACAGCCCCGTATAGATATTATGAATAACTGAATGCAATTATATAATTGTTTCCCCTATTTGCCTCTATATTCACAACTCTAATCAAGCATGACTTTTCAAGTATCATTCGTACTTCGAATTGGCAACAGAGAAAATAGAAGATTGGTCACCCCATTTTAGTAGATCAGATTCAACACATACAATGTGAAGTGGACTGACGTTTTTTCTAGAATTTGAAGGGGGAAATATGATTATTGCATGAACCTTACCGAACCAAAATAACTAGCTGCCAAAGCTTTTGTTAACTCAGTTTTGCCTACCCCAGTTGGGCCACAAAAGAGCATTGCAGCAATGGGTCTGTCTGGATCCTTCAGGCCAACTCGAGATCTCTTAACAGCTCGAGAAATTGCAGCAACAGCCTCATCTTGACCAACAACTCGTTTTTTGAGCTCCTCATCAAGACCCAGTAGAACCATTCTTTCATCAGCTGTGAGCTGCTGAACTGGGATCCCAGACCAAAGCGAAGTAACTGCTGCAATATCATCAGGTCCCACCACTGTAGGTCTGAAAGAGTTACAACAAGAGAGCTAGAATCAAACTGAGGCCCAGAGGACTGCAGGTCTACTGGTTACAATCTTCATAAATATTTTTTCAGACAAAAATCATACTCATCAGCTTCTGAAGTGGAAGGCAAAGGGGAATCTACAACAATTTCATCAGTATCATCCATGCCAGTGGCACAATCATCATATTTTAGCCTACTTGACTGGACCTGCTTATAGTAAAAATATGAAACCGTGGTTATTAGCAGATCATGACATGTAGTAGATTAAAAAGGGGGCAATATCGTTACCACTTCATGCATGGCCTGAACAGTACGGATTTCTTGCCAATAATCGTCAGGTGGCTTTGAAAGTATACCAGTTTGCTGGTCTTTTTTCCTCTTAAATGACTCAATATGAGCTCTACTTCCAGCCTCATCAATGAGATCAATGGCTTTATCAGGAAGATATCTATCAGAAATATATCTCGCTGACAAGTGCACAGCAGCATTTATTGCTTCAAGTGTGAATCTGCAGTTGTGATGGGCCTCATATTTCTCACGCAGACCCAACAGTATCTTTATTGCATCCTCCTAAAATATTTACACACAATATGCAAATAAGAATAAGGGATTAACAATAAAAAAATGAAAAAAATAAATAAATAACTGATATATTTCATAAAGATGTATAAAAATAAATATTGAAAACTACCTGATTTGGTTCATTAATCAACACCGGCTGAAATCTTCGTGCTAATGCTTTATCCTTTTCGAATTGGGTCCTGTATTCATCTAGAGTAGTGGATGCAATACACTGCAGGCAATGGAATGTTAATGTACCAAGAATACAGCATAAAACTAATGAATGCATCAATTGTATGAGTAAACAAGCAGAGTTGTTAAAAAACACAAATATCACCCTTAACACAATAGGATCAATCAGACCTCCAAACAGCACTCAAAATTTAGTAAGTAAGATGGAAGAAAACCACTGTCACAACGCATAACAACTTTCAAGAACAAAACAGGGACTTTATCAGAGAACAGAAATGTTTATTGGAAAAAACAAGGGCAGTCAGATTCCTTTTCCCAGGAGGTATGGAACTTGATTTTAGAGCCTTCAAACAGAGCAATCTTTTATCTTGTACTTAGGAGCATTACCACAAGTCAAAGGGAGAACAAGAAAAGTTGCTAGATGGAGGTCATTCTATAGACTCAACTCAACATGGCCTCAATTCCAGCAAGGCAACAACTCCAGGTTGATTACATACATCTGTTTTTCCAGTAAACTTCAGCTATCTAATCCTAGGCAGTCATATCTTAATTGCATCGACCTACAAACTCTTCGGCCTTATTATTTCTAATAATGGCACTTACTCTAGGCAAGTGGAGATATATACTAAATTCGTCACAGCCTGCTTCAAGTAAATAGGATGGTCATACATGAGGTATTCCAGTGTCATTTATATGATCACATAAGAGCAAAACGCAATTAAAGGTAAAACAATCACCTGTAATTCACCCCTCCCAAGTGATGGCTTTAACAGATTAGCAATGTCAAGTCCAGTTCCCTTGTTCCCTTTTCCAACTGTTCCAGAACCAACGAGTGTATGGACTTCATCAATAAAAAGAATGACATCACCTGCAATGCAACCATATCAAAGACTGAGCAGGAAAAGGAATCGGTTCCAGATTACAAAGGTAGCAACAAAATGTATCACCTGATTTTTGTATTTCGCTTATTAATTTAGTGACACGTGCCTCTAATTCACCCCTCTCTTTTGCACCAGCCATCAGTAATCCTATATCCAAGGACATTATTTGTTTTGTCTGTAGATCGAATGAAAGAGCTGATGAAATTTATAAAATACATCCCAAGAAACACAACCATTTTGATTGAAACTGGGTGAGAATACAAATACAAACTCGCATGAAAATACACACCAAGAGAAATGGCGGAACTTCTGCCTGTGTAATACGAATTGCTAATCCTTCAGCAATGGCCGTTTTTCCAACCCCACTTTCACCAAGAAGAATGGGGTTATTTTTGGTTCTACGGCAAAGAATCTGAACAATTCTCTGAACTTCTGTCTCTCGGCCAACGACGGGATCAATTAATCCTTCACTAGCACGAGCTGTAAGGTCCACACAGAACTGATCTAGTGCACTTTTCCCTAACAAAGAAATTCCAATCACAAAACATTACTCTCCATTCTTGTAATTAAGAAACTAAAGACATAAATAAAAAAATTCAATTTCTACCTCTTGTTTTCTCGAAGGTCCTTAAACCAGCAGCTTTTCCAGAAGGCGGCTTTTCATGCATCCCTTTGGATGCCAAAGATGGTTCTCTACCTTCTTTGGCAAGCTCCCCTTGAAGCCTAGAGACTGCCACATCTGCCAAGTGATTTACACTTACTCCTAGCCTAAAATCACACCAACAGAAGTTCACAAATTATTAGTAATGCAACATATGCTCAATGACTTAGCATACATTGGATCATTATGAGACATAATTTAATATCTAAAAAACAAATTCTTTTTCAGACTCAAGCACTTTGTGTTAAATTTATTTCTTTCTTTACAAGATAATCAATCCAAAATCATTCTAGCACATTAAAAAAAAAAAAAAAAAAAAAAATGCACCTCTTGAGGACCCGACTGGCACTGCCATCATCAACAGTGAACAAACCAAGAGCAATATGTTCAGGGGCAATGAAATTGTGACCTCTGGTTCTCGAATACTCCACTGCAGCCTCAAAAACACGTTTGGTACTAATAGAAAACGGCATATTCGTAGTTGAAGAAAATTTACCAACAGACACAGCTCCTCCTTGAGCATCCGTCCCTTGCCCACTATGCCAAATGGCCCGTACAGCTTCTCGAGCTGCGTCAATGCTAATTCCGGATTCAAGGAACCCACGAGGGTGGCGATCTTCAACTATCAGACCCAGCAACAAATGCTGAGTAAACACCATGTCTTTGCCTAATGATTTAGCTTCTCTTTGAGAAAAAATCACAGCTTTGACCGCCCGTTCCGTGAACCGCTCAAACACAGAAGAAATTGGAGCAATTTTCTTTCGCTTTCTAGAGGAGAAATGATTACTACTATTGGAGTGAAGAAACACGTGGGTATTATTATGTGAAATTATAGAAATATTAAAAAAAGAAGAGACAGGATTTACAGATTGTAAGGGAAGAAGATGATGACGAGGCGGAAGGCGTGAGGAGGAGGGGTGGTGGGTGAATAGGCATCGAGAGTGAATGGAGAGAGGCGAACAAGTTGACACCTCCATGAGAAATCGGTTTCCCTTTGTTCCAAATTCGATTTCGTTGCTTTAGTGTTATAAGTAGTTTGATTACAAGAGAAAAAGGAAAGTAAATGAGACTTTTCTTGTGGAAAAGAAAGAGAGAACGGAAGGAAGCAAAGAAGAAGAAGGAAGGAATAGAGTGTGAAGGCACGTTTTTAACATTAATCAATGAGAGGGGTGGGTGGCTTCAATTATGTGCCAAAAAGTCTACTTTAAATTGACATGAAAAGCAGCCCAAGAAGTCTGAAATCACAAGCATAAGACCCGCACGGCAAATGGAACTCAAACAAAGTATCTTTTCATGTTAAAGACTGCAAATTCTGAACCACTTTTCCGGATCAAGTTAAACTCAACCCCCTTCTTTGTCCCGTCGGCTTATTTTTCAGAGGGCCTTACAAAAGACAAAAATTACCAGGTCACAACGTTGCTTTTTCTCAATTGTACTTCTAAATCTTCCCCGGAACATGTGCTGGGTTGGTTGACGACCCAAAATCATTTAAGAGAAAAATAAAATAATGATCCACGTTTTTTCATATGTAAAATGTATTAGTCATGAAAAATTACAATATTTAACTTGTTTTAATTTTGTAATATTATCGGTCTATTTGTGAAAAATATATTGATATATAAATCTTATCGCCTGATTTTGAAAGGTCAATAACAAATTGAATATCAAATAAGTCTTTATATCCAGAATTGTTCACTTCTTTTGTTTGTTGAAGTGTTCTGCGATTGAGGTTAATTAACACTGTAAAAGCAAGATGAATTTCTGGGCAATCGAGTTTGTGGATTGTTTAGGTTTGTATAGTATTTAATAGACCTCAAAGATTAGTTGAGACCAGACATAAAAGAAAAAAAAAAATTATAGATAAGATTTTAAATGACATTTTGCTCCTCTAATTTCTTATTAATTTATTCATTTTATATTCACAGAATCTTAAGTTGTTGAAATGACAACATGGATACATTTATTTAAAGCAGCATTTAATATAAGTTCATTAAGTCCTTATCAAGATATTCAAATGCATAATAAATAGTTCAATTCAACAAATCATTTAATAGTTTGCGAATCATGACAAAAAAAAAAAGAAAAAGGTAGCTCTGTTTCTATAAACAACTAATCTCACATTGCTTCTCATCGTCTACTTCTCACTACACAAAATTAACACTAACCACAAAAATCTGCTCTTGATGATGCTGATGGATCAAGAGGAGCTTATTGCATAGGATACTACCAATATAAGTTCTAACCTTTTATACTGTGAGTAGTTGCAGTTTCATGCTTTGTTTTTAAAGAATTTGTATTGGATTGATATTATGTTTTGGAAAGTTACAAATCTGGCGTTGATTTAGAACCATTGCTTACCAATAATCCTTGCATGAACAGGTGCCATCTTTAAAATGATGAAACCTATTTGCATCTCTAACAATAATCTTCCGTCCGTAAATATAAGAGATCAACTTGAAAGCTGAGTGGCAATCATTGCAAACACGGAGATTCTTTGTCACCCGAATTGCCATTTCTGGTTCCATCTTCATAATGCCAAAAGCAACAGCCAGCTTCTCACTGTGATAATTCAGCGTGTGCTCCTTGTCTTCCTCTTCCACGTCGTGTAGAACACAAGATAAGTCCGGTACATATCCTGCCATCTTCATCTCAACTGCCAAGCTCTCTACTTTCTTATAAACTTCTTCCCAGTATGGATTTACTTGGTCAGCTGTGTGGAAGCCATGAATCTCTTTACCAATCTCAATCACGCTGAAAGCTGCAGCTTTCTTCAATCCCTTATTCTTCATATCTTGTCTCAGCTTCCCTACTTCTTGCCATTTGTTTGATGCAGCATATATATTTGACATCAGCACATAGTATCCAGCATGTTCTGGCTCAAGCTGGAATAAATTATTGGCTGCAATTTGTCCTAATTTAGTATCACCATGGATTTTACAAGCCAAAAGCAACGCACCCCACACACTATCATTTGGTGATGATGGCATCTGTTTAATTATGTCGAAAGCTGCATACAAAAGCCCTGCTCGGCCCAGCATATCAACCATGCAAGCATAGTGTTTCACCTCTGTTTTCATAGATAGCTTTGTCATATCTGCAAAACACTTTCTACCTTCATCAATTAGGCCCGCATGACTACAGGCAGAAAGAACGGAAGTGAAAGTGATGTGGTTTGGCTCAACCCCTTCCTCTTGCATCTGTGTGAAAAGTTCTAAAGCCTTTTCCCCTTGTCCATGCATTCCATACCCAGAGATCAGTACGTTCCATGAGCTAACATTTCGTTCACTTGGATGGATATCGTTGAAGATACTTTCAGCTGTATCTAAATCTCCACACTTGGCATACATATCCATTAATGCACTCCAAAGAGTCACATCAATTTTCGTATTACTATTGATGATAAACTCATGAAGTTTCCTCCCGAGGTGACGGGAACCCAAATAAGCACAGGCAGACACCAAAATCAAAGCTGTCACCGGATTAGGTTTACACCCAGAATCTTGCATCTCATCAAAAAGCAACAAAGCTTCACTGGCTTGACCGTTTTCAGTATATCCAGAAAGCATAGAATTCCACGAGATACCATCTCTTTCCTCCATCCGATCAAAAACCATACGCGCTTTTTTAACATTCCCACATTTAGCATACATAGCAACAATTGAATTCCCAACACATAAATCCTCAAGAAATGCATTACACAAGGCATAGCCATGAACTGCTTGAGCCTTCATGGCATCTCCCAACTGACCAACAGCTGAGGCAACACTCACTACAGTAACTGAATCCGCCATAATACTGTCTTGCTGCATCTTTTGGAACAAAACAAGGGCTTCTTTAGGTTTCTCTGCTTGTTCATAGGCCGTAATCATCGAAGTCCATGAAACCGAATCTCTCATTAGCATTTTATCAAAAACTTTGCAACCATCATCAGTTTGACCACATTTTGCATACATGTCCACCAAAGCAGCCTCCACATATAAATCCGAATGGAACCCAGCTCTTATAACATCTCCATGAACAACTTTCCCTTCAAGAATCAGCGATTTTGAAGCGCACACTTTGAATACAAAGGGGAAGGTAAAATTGTTGGCTGAAATGCCACTTCTACGCATTAGAGAATACAACTCCAGCGTTTCAGCACAGTGGCCATTAGTAGCATAGGCACGAATCATAGTATTCCAAAGAAAAGAATTTGGTTTATCATTGTGTATAGTATTGAAAAGAGACCGAGCATTATCGGGTTCTTTATATTTGGCGTATTTGATGATTAATTGAGCACCCAAATGAGGGTTTTGGAAGATGAAGCCCGAGGTGGTGAGAGAAGAGTGTATCTGTTTGAGAGGGGCCAAGACATTACAGTACTTTAGGAGTTGATCGTAAAAGGTCTCGGTCGAATCAAGAAACGATACCAGACGTTGCATCCCTTTTACATGATTTATTTTGTCTTCTTGAGACCATCTCCAACCCATTGCACCAAATTGGTGCAAAATTTGGTGCAAAACACTATTCCATCTCCAACCCATAACACCAAATATTGCATTAAAAAGAATATTTTAGAATATTCTTTAAAATATTCTTTTTTTTTCTTTATTGTAATAATCAACAATTAATCTATTTCACTCATTATTTTTGTATATATTAATTAAATATTAGGAATGATATTTTTTTAAATAATAATTATTTTGAAAATTATACTAATTAATAGAATTAAGCATATTTAATCAAATAAACATTACATTTAATATAAAAAAACATTACATCTAATATAAATGATACAAAAAAAAAAAAAAACAACACAAGGTAAAATTTCATATTGATAGTAATTATTTTCCAAATTAGTATGTTCTTCCCACGTGAGTTTTTTCAAAATGAGCAATTAAGAATTATGCAAAAAAGAACTCAACAACAAGGTCAAGGATCTCAAAATAACTCAAATTCTTCATATTTTGATATCTTACTGGATCCGGAACTAATCTACCGAATACTAAATTGTTATTTTAGTTTATGTTGTATTTTCTTTAATTTTAGTTTTTAAATTAGTGTTATTTTTATTTTTAGTTATTGTAGTTTAATTTTGCATTGAATAAAGTTCTATTTTTAATTTGTCATCATTTTTTAATTATATCATTATTATAAATTTATTATTATAAATAATAATCAAATTAAATTAAATACAAATATCAAATTTGGGATGATTTTTGGTGTAAAATTTAATACTCAAATTTGGTATGATTTTTGGTGTAAAATTTAATACTCATTAATTAAACAAAATTAAAAAAAACAAAAAAATCAAAATTAAAAAAAATATATTTTTTTTTATTGTGCTACAGTACTGCGCCATTTTTGGCGCGGCCCTGTAGCACTGCGCCAAAATGGCGCAGTGTTTGGCGTGGGTTGAGTACCAACCCACGCCAAATGGGTGTTTTTTGCGCCAATTTGGCGTGGGTTGGAGATGCTCTGAGAAGCTACAATCTCTCTCGCTCATGTCCGTGCCACTCACCAGACTATATCAGTATATATATTGGTATATTTCTAGTATAAAAATGTAGTAGTGAAGAATCAGCTAATCCCAAGTGGGTAAGCACGTGCTATTAAATGTTATTTTATGATTTTTACGGTTTTACCTCATACCAAGGCTCTCTTCATTACAAGCTTCTTCATATTATTTTACATTGATCGAAACTATCAAGCTATAGACCTCATGGAAGTTATCCATTAAATGTCGTGGATTTAACACAATTAGCACAACTGTGAAGCGGGTAACACAAGGAGATCTGCAGATGACATTACTTGAATATTGCTGAATTACTGTGTAATCAAATCCCTTTCACTTCAATTATGTAGCTTAACAACTCTGTGATGAATCAACCTGACTCCATAGCATCTCAGCATAAGCCCTCCTCTCCTTTTCCTCTGCACATAATCAGTTGCTTCTACTTCCTCCTCTTCATCTGGGATCTCTTCTATCATTTCTTCTGCAGCTGCTAGTTCAGCAAGTTTTGATCTCTGTTCCTCGGTAAGTTCAGCTAGCGTCCTTCATAGCTTTACCAGTTGCTGGCCTATCTGTAGGCGTATCTTGAAGCAGGCACAACAAATGGCAACACAACATCATCCAAGTTCTGCTATCCCTTGTCTCTGTTGGGGGAAATACATATATATCCCGAGTTCATAATTACAGATGTGAAGCAAAAATTTGAGGATGAGTTAGTTTTCTCAGTCCATTTGCTTTCGTCCAGATGGACTAGAAATGTGCCTTCCCCAAGCAGCTGCGCTGAAATTATGTGATCCACAATAAACCCAACCAAAGGAAGATGCATCTATCCTAGACTGAAAGCATCTACGTGCCACCTTTTTACAGCATTCTCTTTTAGTGTTGATATAATCAAATACTAATATGTTTAAAGACAAGAGCCATGATACCCAATACTTAGTTTGGAGATAAATTACTATTTAATCCCAAGGAAAGGAAGAGATAAATTACTATTTAATCCCAAGGAAAGGAAGACATCGTGCACTGCCCCATAATTGATTAAAAACTGATGAAATTTAATTCAGTCAAGAAAAGTTTCTAACAATTCAATAGACAGTAATTCTCTACCTTGACATGCATTGATGTCCAACTCTATCATAAGGATAAGGAATTGCATCAGAATGTTTAAAGCTTCTAGTCTCTGCCATGTTTTCTGTGTAAGAACATATAAGTTGGAGAATCAGCATAGGCTACATGTATAGCTGATGAAACAAATAAACACGACAAAAGACATTTGTCCATCGTAAGGTATGGACATCTGTTCACAGTGACAAATATTCCCTCTAAATTTAAAAAAAAAAAAAAAAAAAAAAAGCTATATTTTATACACTCAATGCATATTTCATATTGTAAAATTTGAAGATAATATAATTACCATCGACATACTTAGCACTAAAATTACTATGAGCTGATCAAAGGCCATCATATACCTCAGAGAAGCAAAGAATCCGCTTTGAGGGCAAGATTCCATCACATGCATTCTTCACTCTTTCAATAGTTGGAAAAAGTATTCTAATGGATGGTCTTTTCAATTCTTGGCTTGCACTCCAGCAGCCCCACTGTAAAAAGAATAAATGAATTACTGAATCTAAAACAATCGCTTTCAACCTTCCATGCACACCTATATATATATAGGCAAATCTGGAGGGTTTCATTTACCTCTGGATCAGACTCTTCAGAGTCAAAGAATCTCAATGATTTCTTTCCAGCAGCTGCTGCAAATGCAGCTAGAAACCGAGCATTGATTGAACCAACTGATGACGAACCTTAACAAAATAAATGGTGTCAAGAATGAAAATTTGTTTTTTAGTAAATAGTTTGGAGAGCAGAAAGTACTCACCATAAATAAAATCAGATTCTTGTACATCAGGCCACCGGTATTGACCTAAAACCTTTTAGAAACAAATAATAAAAAGTAAGTACCCGATTTCCAACAAATACTTTTTTTTTCTTTTTTATAACATTTTGTGGTGCATTTTTAAGTATTTCTAATGGTTAGAAAATAATCAAATACAATAATGTAAGTGGAATGTATTAGTGTTGCAAAAAAGTATAAATTTTTATTTTAGAAAATATTATTCTTAAAATTATCTATCACCGAAGTAGTTATTGATAAACTATGATTAAGGGTGAGCATGTGTAAATGATAGAACCGGAACCGACCACATTAGGCTCCGGTTCCGGTTTTGGAAAATTAAAACCGAGAATTCTCAGGTTCGGTTTCGGTTCCTAAAGTGCTAGAACCGGAAACCGGAATCGAGGTCTGGGTACCCGAGTAGGAATCAAGACTGAATTGTAATTTTTGTAAACTATAGGGGTGTACTTGTGATTTTTGGGGGGTACTTGTGATTTCTGAAAATAATATGATCTTATTAAAATACAACATTTAGGATCAGTTCTCTTTTGTACTTCAAGCAAAATGTCAGGGTAGCTTTATCTGTCTATACCAACCAATTCCAACTAGTACATTTATCACAGCTATCCCTGTTTATACTACTCATAATCAGGTCCTACCTTTCCGTTTTGGATTGGCTACTTTATCAAAGTAAATCATAACAAATCCCGAAGAAACTAGAAATCCATTAAACCTATGTCTTGTAAAATTTTGGAATACACTTTCACTCTATATTCTTGCATCTAATAATTTGATATCCAGGATAAAACCACGTTGTTTCATAAATACAATTTGCAAGAACACATTTTCCCTGGGATTATGTCACAAAAGATGGAAATTGATTAGCAATGCATTCTGCGTGAAGCTAAAAAAAAACCCTCCACAAAGACATTCTATCAACACATGCATCAAATTCATATTTCCTATTATAAATACAAGCATAAGTTAGAAGGAATCGAGTGACTCGCATATCACAACCATCCACATTATGCCTACATATTTTGCAGTTGAACTACAGAAAGATGGAACTCTTCCAAACTACAACACAATACCTCTTGCAGTCGCCACATTCCTCTACGCCTCTGAATTGAAGCAATGAGATAGCTTAATGCAACAACATGTTGAGGTTGCATCATCTTTGATATATCTGAAAAGTGAGGTCCCTGCACCACCAATCAACATTGTATACTTTAAGTAAGCCCATTTCATATAAAAATGCAATCTTTAATAGCTGAGCTACATTATGTTTCCAGGAAAATATACTGAATAAATTGCAGAAATACCATGCCTGTGAAACATGTAGTATCAGTTGTACTTTTTTGTTGATTCCCCCTACAGCAGCAGAGAGGACATTGTCACTGGAGACGAATCCAGAGAATTTTATGAATCCAACATCCCACAAAGGAGAAACCCACTTTGCAATATTTCTAGGCAAAAAGCCAAGTTGAACACAGTCTAGAGCAAGGAATGAAACAATATAATTATTTTTGCAGCTAACAGCATGAAAAAATCACAACCACCATAACACATGCAGACATTCAGTGAAGATAAAAACAACAATGGAGGAGCATATACTCAAAAGAAAACAACCCTTACGTGAAACTAAATGAGTAAATTACGCTAATAAAAAGGATAAGAAACATTTGGGTAAGGAGAAGCAACATAAGAATACCTTAATACAACCCAAGGGAGTGCTTAAACAATATACAATCTGTACAACCACAGAAATATAGGGAAATATATTCTATATATGGAAGAAGAGAGATAAAAAGCTTAGATGCATAACATGTACCTCCCTCAGAAGACTCTTCAATATTGGGAACAAGAATGCTCACAGCATTAACATCTGCAGGTACATTGGTGTTTCGTTTTAAAACAATCTCCAACATCCCATAAGCATTGGCACAAGATTTGCCAAGAAAAGACGCCAGTTTCTTAATTTGTACACCATAAGGGTCTGCTGCATTGTGAAAAAGGTGGCTTAAACCAACCACAGATGCTTCAACTGAACCAAGAAACCCTACGCCAGATGACACTGATGCAGTGTGATTAACCTGAAAGAGAATTAAATGTGTAGTGTGAGATTTTCTTATAGCTAGGACCTTCACAGACACAACCCTAAGGCCGAGCTTAAAAGGCCTCCAGAAAATAGAAAGATGATGGACATAATTTAAATAACAATAAAATGTTAAACAAAAGATGCCAAGGGTGTAAAGTGCTTCTTCATCCTACTGAAGATTTGGGATTTGGGGAATAAAACATCAATAAAAATGAGCACATAAAGAGATAAAGCTATGAATTTTTGTACCTTTGTGTGTGCATGCATGTCTATATAGAGATTATTGTAAAGCAATCACCTATGATGAAAACATTTATCCTTAGATAGACACAGAGAGACAGCTAGTGGAGAAACTCACAGGTTTAAAGTATGTGAACTCTGGCACAGTGGGCATTCTGCAAGAATAAATTCCAGGCACTGAAGCAATTAAATGTCCTGTTGCCCCACCAAAGTCATATTTTGTCAGGTCCACAATCCAATGGGCCTGACTGGGAACATCAATCACAAGAGATGCCATAAAGCTGGCCAGCTGAGCAGCAAAATCAGATCTTGAATCTTGGTTAATTTCTTCAACAGGAGGTTGAATAAAAAGAGATAAATAATCAGTTTCCCTTCTGCGAGGGAAATCTTGCCACCATACTGTATTGGTTACATTGTTCCACTGCAAAAGTCATAACAACTGATGAGTATACAATACAAAGCATATGTAAAATCAATAACCAAACAATTGGTGTACAGCTAAATGAATAATACATGAACATTAACATAAAATGCAAGAGCACAGCAATAAAAGAGTTTAGTCTGATTAGAAGAGCTATTTTTCAAGCTTGGACACAACAGATCACTCTCATTCGAGTTTCAAGTGCAAACAAATCACATGATGGTACATGTCCATGCTATCATAGAAGCAGATATCATAAGTGCTGCAAAGACACCAGATTCCATTATGAGAGCCTTGGTTATTGAATAGCATGACCAAAGCCAAAGATTTCGTGATCAAAAGCAAAAAAAAAAAAGACACGTTTGGGAATTCGGGTGAGCCATGCACGACCTGAATTCTTGTATTTCTTTGCGCAAAACACATGTAGAAAACAAAAATCCTATCAGTTGAAAGGGAGTCCTCCAAACTTTCCCATAGGTTTATGCATATAACATTCAAACTCTACATGTTATAGCATAAACGGCATTTTTTTTTTTTTTTTTTTTTAACAAGAAATTCAAAAAAACTTATCCCATAAGTCAAGACATTGACCTTAAGAGCAGAATGGCTATTTCCCCATCAAATTATAGTGGAACTCTTGTACTGTATGCTAAATTAAATATTATGTAACATGCACCATATAAAACATGAAAAACAAGACAGTAAAGTAAGTTATCACCTGTTTTGCCACTAAATTAGCAGAAGTAATGATGACACGAACACTATCCTCTCTTTGCAAAACGAAAAATTTTGGATGGTGACAAGCAATGCCTTGTTTCTTACGGTTTTCACCAAAAGCTACAGCCTCTGGAAACGGAGGAAACCTATTACAATAATGGTTATGTTACAAAAATGTTGGTCAAATTTGAAACGATCAATATCACCACGTAAACTAGTTTTAATCTTCAAAAAATCAAAGTGTGAAAACTTCACTTACACTACAACTAAGTTTGGAAAATCTGGGTAAGGCACAGAGGTTCTTTCATCGGGGCTTGAACTCCAACATCTCCCAGTGTTGTGACATGCAACTGTCACTGGCAGGTGGCAAGGAATCTCACAATATGATAAAAACCTAACAAGACAACTATCTTAGAATTGAAAGTAGAAAATTGGGTTAAATACATGCACTCAAAACATAAGTTACACTATTTAATTTAAAAAAGCATCAAGTACAGAGGGAAAAACGTTGAAAAAAACTAAAATAAAAATAACTGATCACAATGGAAATATAAGAAATCGGGGAAAGAGAGAAACAAGAAATAGCCAGGTATTTCTCATACTGATCCTGCAATATAGGTGCAAATACAACAAGACACAGATAGTCATTACGGGAAACCATGAAATGCACTGTGCTAATCACACTATATATATATATATATATATATATATATGTACCATTTTCTGCAATGGACAATAAAATATCATGAAAGTAAAAAATAATAGTGGAAAGATAGAAGCAACTTTACCATAAAATGTCACTGGTAAATGTAGCAATAAATAGTTGAGAAATGCTTTGTACGGGATAAAGAAGTTCTGGCAGGGAAACGACATTGCAAGTGGATGAAGTGTGGTCCATTAATTCAAGACAGTTCAAGTAAAATTTCTTCCCAGGAGGCAAACAAGTATTGCCCGATTTCTTGCTCGTAATATCAAATTGAAGAGCATTATCTGTCCCTCCAGGATTCAATAACAAAGCCTTGGAAGAATTATTAGTGGCAATGGCATTCTCATAAACAATTACAATATTTTCTCTATGACATAAATTGTCATTGTGGTTACAAGGATCTAGTTGGTCATGATCTGGCTCTATTGCCTCTACTTCTTTGTCATGAAATGTAATTGCTGACTGCACTATGCTGGCCATTTTATCCGAAGGTATTTGTTCTTGCCCGGGAACTGGATTAACAATGTTCACCTCTAAGTCACCACCAACTGGAACATTACCAAACCCTGGAATAGTACTACAACCATAAGTGCCTTCCATTTGAGAATCTGAAACAGCAAACCCTAAGTGCCGAGTGCAGGATATGGGACCATGGCTATTCAATATATTTTTACACTGACTCAAAAGAAAGTTTGCTCTCCCAATAAGATCACTACATTTGAATCTTGAAAAATCACATTCCAAGTTCCCAACATCACTTGTCTGTAAAGCAAAAACCCGTTTATTCCTCTTCCCACTAGACACAGAACCTTGGGAGTACCCTGAATAGGTCATTGTTCCAAACTCAGCCTTGTTTGACCGAAAAACAACTTCCTCCTTATAAACAACCCCTAAAATTACAAACCCAATTCTCATCCCAGACCTACAAAAACCTTCATTCCCACAAACAAGCAAAACCTCATCACCAGCACTCAATTCTCTAACCATCCCCTTTTTAACCCTTACCCCATTAACAAAGACCCCATTTAACGAAACCCTAACCCTAGAAAAACCCCCAATCTCCTCCTTCTCTTCCAATAATTCATCACAATTATGTAACCTTCTATTACTAAATTCATTAACAACACAACTAAAATCAGACAGTAAAAAGGTTCCATCAAGAATATAAACCTTGCGTTTAATGCTATCAAACAAAATCTGGCAGTGTTGCTTACTGACAAGGCGGCTTTTGAACGTGAAGTCGCAATTGCGGCTGGTTCGACCGATGGTGTACGGCCGGTCGGGTTGGAGTGAGAGTGAGTGGAGAGGTGAGTCGGTGGCTGACGAAACCAAAGGAAGATTAAAACACTGTAGGCGAAGAAGTGCTGTTTTGGCAACGGTTCTTGATCGTTTCTGAGGTAAATAATTCTCTTCATGATTGTTACTGTAAAATAATAATAAATCTGAATCGTTCATAAAAATGAATAAAAAAATAAAAGTTATTTGGGTTGAAAAATGAAAGTATGAATGGATTTGTAGAGGGAAAATTGTTTCCGTTATGACTTTCCCTCCTAATTTTTTATTTAAATGGCAAGGAATAGAATAGTAGCGCCCGCATCTCTGCGTTTAATATATGTAGTTTCCTTTCAAGTTTAGTACATTGTATGGGCTCTTCTATTTACAAGGCCCATTGGATATGTTAGGCCCTAAAACCAATTGGGATTTACAGTTAAAATTATTTATTTATATCTGCAATTAAATACAGTTGATATTTGTTTAGATATCTTAATAAAAACAAAACTTATTAATTGGGGGATACTAAGGTATTACAATCAGGAAAAAGACAATTCATTTATACGGAAGATATAATAATTTTAATTTACTAACAATTAATTAAGAAAATAATATATTGGTGTTGTTGTTGGTGCACCTTCACCTTCCTACCACTAAACCTTGATTGGCCCCATTTACTCGTCAATGCATATGGATTCTATTTGGATTATCACAAGTACAAAAAGGGGGATCTCATTTTCAAATTGGTTAGACTTAATACAACGCGTTTTAAAAATGGTCAAAATTTAGGTTTTTTTTTGTTTTTATACACTTATTTAAGCTACAACGCCCACTGTTGCCAGCTATATGCAAACCATATACAAACACAAATAACAAAATCTACCATCACACAGAGTTTGAGTTTGTATTCAAGTGAATCATGGATGGTAAAATCCATCACCACTACTTGCCCCTGGACTATATATTAAGTGGCAGAAATCTTCCTTCCTACTTTCTTATGTCCAAAGTCAACAGTGGGAACTTCACTTCACCAACCACCATTACTAACTAATTAGCATTTCAATTTATTAAATATAATTATTCCTTAATCTCATAATGCTAAAGCGTTACGTATCATCAAATACATATTCCATTATATATCCGGATAAAAATTTAGCCAATTATTATGTCCAAGTCCAACAACATACCTGTGATTGTGATTTTGTATAATATTTTTATTCTGTTAGTCGTTAGATAATGAAAACCACTACTTCAATTTGCAATTATATATATTATAAATTTATTTAATATCCAATTCCACTTTCTAATAAACTTAAAAAACGAGAATGCGGAAACAACTAATAAATATTGATCATGTCACTCTAATTTTAATATATTACTACAAGTATTGATGCTTTAATTGGAATTAATTAGTGTCTAACTGTAGCTACATATTTGGAGGACCTGACCAGCCCAGTTATAGGATTTAGAGGTGGTATTATAGCATGAATGCGAAAGAAGTAGCTAAGAAAGGAATACTGTTTACACACTAAATCAATGGAATGCACTTTTTAAATTTAAAGTCTTAAGAGTCGGTGACGGTAGTTATAACTTAACGGCACAGATAATGCATGAATGAATCATTTGACTAACCATTGACTCCTGGATAATTAATTCCTATTACTGCACTAAACATATATTACAAACAATTAAGTTTACTCTTTCTTCCATTGGATTCTCATTTAAGTAAATAATCACTAATAAGTCATCATTAATTTTGGGTGCAATATGTCGTTTACTAATTCAACTAAAATTTAATTTATATAAGTGGACAAATCAAACAATGATTTTTACACTAATTCTATAGTGGATAACTATTTCATCTACTAATTAATTAAATAAAAAGAGGGAGTGAAATTAATCATGCACGTGCAACTCAAGAAAAATACCAAATTTCATGTGGCCTTCTTCAGCTTATGGTATTTTTTGTATATAAATACGAATATGACGTGTTTAAATGACAAAAGTAAAGCCATGGCTGCTCGGTCGGACCATCCTTCCACTTTCTTACATCTTATATAAACAGACCACGCACCAACACTTATATGAGCCAATACAAAAGATATAAAAATCTCAGCTTCATTCAATACTTTACAGCTATTATTACAACCTCTTCTCTCATCTCTCCGGAGAGAAACTTATAGTGGCAACCACCGCCCAGATGCAGAATATGGGAACGGACGATCCAAGAGTTACGTTTCAGGATCATTATCACAACCATTCTGATACTGAAGTTGTGGGCAATGAAAAGATACCATACAGCGGTCCACTCAGCGGACCTCTAAACAAAAGAGCCGCAAGAAAAACCGCCAGGTTCAACAGTTCTGACTCACCTTCATCACACGATGAGTCTTACGTTGAGATCACTCTCGATGTACATGATGATGCCGTCGCTGTTCACAGTGTTAAAGCTGCTAATGGTGCTGACATTGATGAAGATCCTGAGCTAACGTTACTTGCTAAAGGTTTGGAGAAAAGGTCGTCTTCCTTTGGTTCTTCAATGGTGAGAAATGCTTCTTCCAGAATTAGACAGGTGTCTCATGAGCTTAAGCGTTTGACTTCTTTTTCAAAGAAGCCTCCTCCTCGCTTTGATAGGACGAAGTCTGCGGCAACTCATGCTCTCAGAGGACTTAAATTTATTAGCAAAACTGATGGTGGAGCTAGTTGGGCTGCTGTTGAGAAGCGATTTGATGAGATTACTGCTTCTACTGACGGGGTTCTGCCTCGTGCACGATTTGGAGAATGCATTGGTATAAACACAACTCGGTAATTTACAAGAGTTTTTGTTTGTAAAAGATTTGTTATTGTGGGTTGCTGTTAAACTGTTACGCAATGGCAGGAATGAAGGACTCAAAGGAGTTCGCCGGGGAGTTATTTGATTCGCTTATTCGAAGATACAATATTACGGGTGATTCGATCACCAAGGGACAGCTAAGAGAGTTTTGGGATCAGATCTGTGACCAGAGTTTCGACTCCAGGCTTAAAACTTTCTTTGACATGTAAATGTTTTTTTTCTTAATAAACAAAGATATCATCTTGTTAATTCTTAGCATGTGTATGTTGTTGATTGCGAGCTTACTAAATCAATTAAACGAAATGCAGGGTTGATACAGATGCTGATGGAAGAATCACAGAAGAGGAAGTCAGAGAGGTATGGCCTCGACCTCAAAGAACATGACAGCTTAAATAATCCTAGATGCATTAATGCAGAAGTTGACTTTCATATATATGTTCCTTTATGATTAGTCTGAATCTAATAAATTGCCAATAATATCTTGTAGATCATCAGCCTCAGTGCTTCTGCAAATAAACTCTCGAATATCCAAAAGCAAGCAGAGGAATATGCAGCTTTGATCATGGAAGAACTAGATCCTGACCATCTAGGATACATTATGGTAATAGAAGAAAAACTCATGAAAGTAATCTGAAAGAATGTAAAAGGTTTAATTTTTTATTTTTTGGTCTCTCATATGGTTGGAATTTAATATTTCAGATCGATAGTCTAGAAATACTTCTGTTGCAAGCTCCAAATCAGACTGTTAAAACTGGAGGAGAGAGTCGAAACCTTAGCCAAATGTTGAGCCAGAAGCTAAAGCCTACACAATTTGACAACCCAATAAGGAGATGGGGGCATAGCACCAAGTACTTCTTGCTAGATAATTGGCAAAGAGTTTGGGTAGTGGCACTGTGGATTGGAGTCATGGCAGGTCTATTTGCATACAAGTATATTCAGTATCGAAATAGAGCTGCATATGAAGTAATGGGACATTGTGTATGCATGGCCAAGGGTGCAGCGGAGACTCTAAAGTTAAACATGGCTCTAATTTTGCTACCAGTTTGCCGAAACACCATCACATGGCTCAGGAACAAGACCAAATTAGGAGTCGTTGTTCCATTTGATGACAACCTCAATTTCCATAAGGTAAATGTCAAATATCGTTTTCCACGCAGTCAGAAAGCAGATTTATTCAAAGTAAAAGATTCAAAAGCTGAAGCAAAGTATATAATAATTGTTTTCCTTTTCAGGTGATAGCATTGGGGATTGGTTGTGGAGTTGCTATACATGCAATTTATCATTTAGCATGTGATTTCCCTCGTCTGCTTCATGCAAGTGAAGATAAGTATGAGCTATTGGAGCAATATTTTGGGGATCAGCCTGAAAGCTACTGGCATTTTGTGAAGTCAGTGGAAGGAATAACTGGGATTGTGATGGTAGTGTTAATGGCAATAGCCTTTACACTTGCTGCCCCATGGTTTCGGCGCAATAAGCTCAAATTGCCCGAGCCCCTCAAGAAGCTTACAGGCTTCAATGCCTTTTGGTATTCCCATCATTTGTTTGTCATCGTCTACACTTTGCTCATTGTTCATGGATATTATCTGTATTTGACTCATAAATGGTACAAGAAGACGGTTAGTTTCATTCTCACCTTAATTTTTCACCATCTTTACTTTACTTTCTTCCGCTGATTGGTTGATTTAAAGCCTGACATAATAATCTTTTTTTTCTAATAGACCTGGATGTACCTGGCCATTCCGATCATCCTTTATGCCAGTGAGAGATTAATTAGGGCACTCAGGTCTAGCATTAAGCCTGTTACAATAGAAAAGGTAAAGAAATATACATGAATTGAATACGTATGCACACATGGGGTTGAAGAATACTTTTGTTTGAAAGTGTAACTGATCTTGCAGGTGGCCATTTATCCTGGAAATGTGCTGGCACTTCACATGTCAAAGCCTCATGGATTCAGATACAAGAGTGGCCAGTACATGTTTGTCAATTGTGCTGCTGTGTCGCCGTTTGAATGGTATCCAATGATGAAACTCTTGCAATTAAAATCTTCACACACAACTTGAAATTTTTTATTCTCATAATGTTACTGCTTGTCTTATTGACATCTAGTGGTGAATTCACATGTCTACAGGCACCCATTTTCCATAACTTCAGCCCCTGGAGATGACTACTTGAGTGTCCACATTCGAACTCTTGGGGACTGGACAAGACAACTCAGAACAGTATTCTCTGAGGTAATTAATTCTTAATTAGTAACTAATTAGTGTCCACATTCGAACTCTTGGGGACTGGACAAGACAACTCAGAGAGCATATTATAATCTTAGGATAAAGAAAATAAAGTTTGTTTTGATATGGTTAATTAATTAATCAGTTGTTGAATTTTATGATCTAGGTGTGCCGGCCACCTCCTAATGGAAAAAGTGGACTCCTTAGAGCAGATTGCATGCAAGGAAGTAACAATCCCAAGTAAGTCTTCTACAAATCTGTCTTCATCAACATTGAATTAGGAGAAATATAAAAACATCTTCAACTCCGCGTTTGAAAAAAATCAAAGGAATTGATAGTTCTATAACAGTAAACAAACCTGAATTAGATTCCATGTGAGAAGTGATGAAACTAGGGGCTTATCTAGTAGTTCATGGAGATAATGTGACCAGCACAACATAAATAATAGAAAGAATGAGGTCAGCTACTGAATAAAATCACAGTTGCGCTATAACAGTTGTTCACCAGCACTACAGAAAATCACAGTTGTTGAGATAAAGGGGAGCATTCACATTTGCGCTATGACTAACCCAATAAGGTAAAAAGGATTGCATCACTCTAGTTAACAATAAGCCAACGCACCTTGGAAAGTTACATGCCTTGGCTTTGATTTGACAACGCCATGTGCATTACACTTAATAAACTATTGATCCACCACTCATACACAGTCTTAGCAAAAAGATGTTAATATGAATATATGAGTATTTAATTGTTGCATATAGACTTAAAGGGATGGGTCTAGCCTGTGTGATTAAATCTTTACTCAGAAAGTTCAAACTCGTGAAACATGGTGATGGATTTCAATTCAATCTTTACTTTTGAGAGTTTCAAGAGACATCTAAATGTCTTATTTTTTTGATCTCGTAAGTTGTATCGAGTCTCTGACATCCTCTCATCCCCTCAATAATTGTTATTGTTTGAGAAATCATGGACCAGCCATCCTTGTTTTTCAATTGCTTTTATCTTCTCTATCCTCATCTTTGAGAAAAGTGTTTGGCCCCCGAAATTTGACATAATTTTGTCGGCTTTGTCTGGGTGAGGGGTACCATATACAACCTAACATTTGGAATCTACTCCCTTATTCTCCACTACTAATTAATCTAATCTAATTGTCAAATCTTAACTAGAAGATTTAAATAATAGGATTATCTTTTTGAAAACAAAGCATAATCGAAAATTAATTCAACATGTGGGCGCCTTAGATACTTCCAAATTGTAGTTTTAAAGTTGTTAATCACACGCGTCTTTGAAAATTATAAAATGCACACAATAATTATTATTAATTAAATTACAAAGAAAACAAAGAGTAATCTCAATGATAATGATGATGTCGCTTTGGACAAACGTGGGCACATGCCACATGATATAATAGAAAGAGACTCATAACAAGAATGTGAGAGGGCATGATTTCGTATTGTATGAATGTGGAAAGGACCACTATTATAAAATACACGTCCATGATTTCATCTATTATTCAAGATTCCCTTTATTATATATTTGGTATAATTTTCTTTGTTGGGGACCACTACTTTAAAATAACATAACAATAATACTACACCAACAATCCTCTCTTATAAATTTTTTCTTACAACCCTAACATGACAATTAGCAGTTAGTCAATTTACAACGGATCCCCTATGAGTCACGTATGGGTCTCAGTAATTAATTATAAACTGACCAATTACGAGCTATCACATTAAGATTGTGAGAAAAAATTTATGAAAAAAGATTCATGGTATAATATTACTCATAACATAATGTCTATTATTTCATTTTTGACAAAAATATGACACATGTAACATGTTAAGTATTATTCCGCCAGCTGGGGAGTGTATGTTATGTATCTAAATAGTTGTACTAATATGATCATGTTATCATTAGTGAATATCATAATCAATCTCTTCTTTTGAGTATGAATTCATTTAATAAACCATCTTATCCGAATTCAAATCAAGACTGAAAACATCTTACTAAAAACTTCTTGTAAACATTTTTCTTTCAAGTTAGTGATGTGATTTTCTAAATGATAAACAGTTTCCCAAGAGTTTTGATCGACGGTCCATATGGAGCACCAGCACAAGACTACAAGAAATATGAGGTGGTTTTACTGGTGGGTTTGGGAATTGGAGCAACCCCAATGATAAGTATTGTGAAGGACATAGTGAGCAACATCCGAGCCATGGAAGAGGAAGAGATTGGTTTAGAAAATGGAAATATGAGAAATCCTAGTCCTTTACAACAAAGAAGAAGAGAACAGTTCAAGACACGGAGAGCATACTTTTATTGGGTGACAAGAGAGCAAGGATCGTTTGATTGGTTCAAAGGTGTGATGAATGAAGTGGCTGAATTGGACCATAATAATGTGATTGAACTTCATAATTATTGTACTAGTGTTTATGAAGAAGGTGATGCTCGCTCTGCTCTCATTTGTATGCTTCAATCACTAAATCACGCTAAGAACGGTGTTGACATTGTCTCCGGTACAAAGGTTAAGTCCCATTTTGCCAAGCCTAATTGGCGGAATGTCTACAAGCGTGTTGCTCTTAATCATCCCGATTCCAGAGTTGGTAAGTCAAGCTTCTACTTTCAATCGTTTTATGAATTACTTCCAATTTTCACATTTAAGATTTTTGAGTTGTATTCTTTAATTTATTTTGACCACAATTATATGCAAAGTTTATGCCATATATTATGCATTATTTTTAAATGGGGGAGCTGAATATTTATGGTGCATTTTATAAATACAGGAGTGTTTTACTGCGGGGCACCAGCACTAACACAAGAGCTACGCCAGCTGGCTTTGGATTTCTCTCACAAGACCACTACCAAATTTGACTTCCATAAAGAAAATTTTTAACTTCAGATGGAAGTGAACGAACCAAGTTCAAGTGCCCACCAGACAGACAAATTATCCTCATTTCCTCCATTATCTATCCCACTCTCTCTCACGTACAGAGATTCTGGCATGGCCTCTACCCTATGTTCATATATTATACAATCATATTAATGTATACGGTTACCATGAATTTATAATTGATTTTGCTTTGCAAATTACTAATATATAAATAGAAAGAATGCAGACAAAAGATGGTGGGTAGTTGAGTTGGGCACAACCCACCACAAGACTCGGCATTTAGATAAAGAAGTGGGCGTGTCTAATGTCATGCTGACTCATTTTTAGTGCAACTAGTTCTGACTTCGGATCCAATCTGATAGGCAAAATGTACAATGACAATCGCCACCAACTCAATCTTAAACACCCAAGTGTACACTTTTTTTCCCTTTCATTTTGGTAGATGAAATGTATTTTTCCGTTTAATTAATTAATATTAACCCGTAAATTGCGGAATTGTTAGCGGAACCATGAGAGCTTTCAAATGCAATTTTGAATTGAATAATTAGTTCGTTGTACAAAGATATGTTTTTGATGGGGAAACCTTAGACCTAGTTGTTAAACAGGCTTTAACACAATTAGTGGACAGTAACACGGGCCAACAAGCTTACGAAACATGGAACACAATGAACCGCAACTGTCGTGAATTATTTCGTTATAATATTGTTTCTAGCAGTCACTAAAACAGAATCTCGTATTAACACCATTTCTCATATGGTTTCTGCATGCGGTATGTTAACAGTATAAGACTGAAAGAATAGTGAGAACAAGTCAATACGAAGAGAAGTAACCACACTGACCTCATGGAACTTTAGCACAAGTAGCTCCATCCTATGCAAAGCGCAGCTTTCTGTCATTTATGTTTCCTTTTTAGCCTCTGGAAATTGGGTTTCATCAGCTGACTTGAACTCATGTCTTGGTCTGTAGATTGACTGGGCTGGAAAGGAATAAGAGGCTTCTTCATTGTCACGAATGTGTCTGAGATGCTGCTACTTGTGCTAATCGGAGAAACTACCTTTGTTTTTAACTTTCTTGGCACCTCCAGTCTTTCTAATATCCTTGATGTTTTTTCATCCACCTGCCTATTAGTATCTGGTGGTGATAGAACTGACTGATCCAACTTGGATTTAGTTATACAAGTCGGAGAATATTTCTTTGGGATTGCACTGACAACCAGCTGCTCCCATTCTTCAGTAATACTAGAACCAGTTTTGTCTCCTCCAGTGGTGAGATCAACCATTGGGTCCTCACGCAAGACTACAACATCTATAGCTGAATTTAGCTTTGCAGTCACTTCTGAAGAATCTGATTGAGTTGCATTTAGTTCCAGTGTTGTCTCATGCAATTTAGGAGGCACGGACCTGGATAATTCATGTAAATGGAACAAGTGTCAGGCAATTCTTCTCATTCATATCAAATATCAATGAAGCTAACAATGATAAAGAATATGAGGTAATTACACCGAGTTCCAAACTTTTGAAAACGTAAGAAATCAACTTAAGCCTTATTGTTTTAAGTTGCAAGACTGAAAACATATATGAATAGTCTGAATAAACTTGCTAAGGATAACAATAGTAAAAGTGGGGTCTATACTATCTAAAAAACTCTAATCTTCTACTGCAGTATTCCATATTATGCTGGGCACAAAGATGACTCAAGAGTGCTCAGTGCAGAAAAAATGAGACATCCTCTATATATCCAAAATTTAAACTGAAATACAATAGTAAGATCCCTCGTATTATAGAGCAATTGGCTTCAGTGCAACAGAACAAATTGACAGTAGCAGATAAGGCAAGACTGACTAGATATACTTTTATGTGACGTTTAACATTCAACCTCTTCAAATTCATTTGAATAACTTCACAAAGATGACCATGAATTTGAATTTCACAACTGGATAACTGAGTATCAAATACAAGTTAAATGGCCATTCTTAATTCTAAATATAGTTATCTAAGTTCACCAGAAGGATTGTTAGCCTATTTAAGGCTTTATTTACTATTCTTTTATCAAGGCATGACAGCATAATTCTTAGAATATAATCTCTCATGTGCTTGAATGATTCTTTCAGGAAACCTGAAAGCAGATGGAAATGATGGTTACCCAAATTGCAAGCTCTCTTTCACAAGTGAGTTTAGTTTTTGATGGAAGCCTCTCTCATGTAGGACTGGATTGTAGTCTCTTGATTCTATCTGCCACAAATGCAGAAATGCATTAATGAAAAAGGATTATAGACAGAATTACATGAATATGCCAGCCAACACCAAAATCATAATACCAATCCCTTGAAGAGAATATGAACGAAATATACGACAATCACTGTAAGAAACAAACAGAACCAGTAGTTTATGCTATGAAGCAAACAGTAAAGCTATGTAAAATCAAGCCTATGTATGCTATTGTTAGAATATAATCCATCTGAGATGAATTAGTAGCTTCAGTAGCAGTTGATCCAGTCACATGCATAATAGCTTAGTACTTGGTCCATCATTTTTTATTTTCGCAGAAATTTTGTAGAGTAATTCGTCAACGACATGTTATGATAGAATGATCTCTCCAAAGTCATTCAACATATAACAGATTCAAGGTAATGTGCAACAACAGATATTTTTCATAGAAGTTTCGGTTACTTGCATATATGGCAAGCTGCTCACGCATACCAATCATAATAACAATTGGAAAACCTGGACACTTGTCCATTATGACTTACAATCCTTTCCAGCAATGAGTGGCTTTAGCATGACACATTTAAAAATCATACAAAAAGGGCAGGTACTGCTAGTAGAGAGACAATGGTTTGAAATTATGAAGACAAGATTCAACCTTGAATAAACAGGTTTGAATGGAAATCTCAATCTCTTTAGGTACCGAAGAATCGATGAATTGGTTGACATCAGGGTCAGGCAAGACTTCCTCTGACCCTGCAAGGCGCTGCAATTTTTATAATAATCTATTAACATAGATATATCACTGTCAATAGGAGGAAACGGGCAGAAAACATGAGCCAGAAAATTCTTTTAAAGAAAAGAAGGTTGAATTATGCAAGAATTATTAGGTAATAACTCTTTCACATTTATTCTTTTAAAAATAAATACATGCTTTATCAGCCCGTAAGGGAGAGGCTCAGAGTTTACCCTGAGAAGCATTGGCCCATTTTCTGAAGGTTGCAGAATATAATAGCAGTAGAAGGAAGCCTTCCTCATAGATTGCATATTACAATATGAAGAGCATACCAAACCCAGGTCCAGTGAATGTAGAGCACTGCAAAGGCCTCGAAATACTGTCCATTTGTAGCCGGACCCAGGAAAAAGAAAGAATTAAGTAATCCATACTCCATAGAAAAGAACTCACAGCCCAGGATGTTGATATTAAACTCAAATTTTAGAAACAAAGCAAACTTCAAAATCTGAGAGGACTGTTTTATTAAACATTCTCACAGCAAACCAGCAAATCAAATAAAGGCCTTCACGCACGTTGAGCATTCAACTCTGAGTGATCTATTTCATCCGAAGAAGTTTCCATCTCATGACAAGCTGATGGTGTTACAACATAGGAAGCCCCCATTATAACCCCTATGTTGAAATGCCAAAAAGGGAATTAATAGTAAAATTAGAAAATGTGTCATAGCTGTTCCTCTGTAGGTAAGCCCCTAGGTGTAGGCATCAAGAGTGACAGCAATATGACTTCCAAAACAATAAACACAATTCACTCACATCCCATTGAATTTCCCCAAGAAGCAATAAGGTAGAAATTTAGGAAATAAAGAAAGAGATCCCAGAATAACCAATAACTCATGATATTTACTAACTATCAAACATAAAGCTTGATGCTTCAGATTTACCTTCATCTAGAGACCCCAGGGGAGTCTTCTCCACAATATTGAAATCTATGGGTGAAGAGACTTGCTGAAGCTTCATAGAGCTCTGAAATGAGGGCATAAACAGAATTGTATTTTCTCCAACCTTAACAGAATTTTCAATTACATCAAATGTCCCCAGACCATGGCCAGTGACTGGACAAGAAGGCTCTTTGATCCCATCTTGTACTATATTGCCTAACTGAATGCCGTGGCACCTGCAAATCTGCAGAAATACACTGAATAAACTTTTTTCCCCTTTTTGATACTGAAACCCATTACATCACTTTTCATGTATAAAATACACATATATCATAAATACTTCAGAAATTCAAAATAACTTGAATCCAATTTTGCTTATATTGAGTTATTTATGATGCTTAGATGACCTACACGAGTTTGGATTTTTCAACTTAAGATGATAATTGAAATGAAGTTTTTTGACAGCCAGGATCATACATTGCTGTAGTCAACAAAGATTAGCAATACCTGGCAGGGACTAAACCCATCAATAATTTGGTTGACTGATGCACACAAGTTGCAGGTTATCTGGTTCACTGAACCGAAAAGATTGTTCTTAAAGACGAAACGCGCTTGTAGTGGTTCTTCCATATCATCCTTTAAATCCTGTAGCCATCTTTTGACCATACCACGAAATACGTTCATGTCTGCAAATATGTTAACATATTAATACAACATAAAAGTCATTCATGACAACCATGTATTTCTGGCAACCAAGGGTTTGCCAACAATGTTCATTTAGTTTCTTTACATCCGCTCTTGCTTTTAACCTTTCTTCAAAATGACTCCCCTTTAAAATTTTTAGGAAAAAACAGCACTAAATGTGGGAAAAGCATATCATCCAAAGACCATACAATGCAAAATATCATTGTTGTTATAAAGACATGATCAAGAATCTAAACTGACTGGCATGCCTTCTGAACTCTAGTATTGCATTTTTGCCATAATAACAACATTACTAATCAGTCACTATCATGAAATAAAATAAAAGCTATCCAACTTTGATCAATATAAACCATTTCAAGATAAAAAGGGATCTTTCTAGATAATCAGAGTGTAAACTATACGTTATGCAAGCGCTCAACCTGGAAGATACGTTTGAAACGAGCAGTTATCGAGATCAGAGATACATCTAAGAAAACCGTTGATATGCTCTTGCATATCACCAAGATGGCCTGATTTTTGCTCAAACAATACGAACTCAACCGTAACACACTTATCTGCTGCATCCTGTCAAAAATCAACTTCAAAATTAGCGTAACAAGAAGCCACAAATTAGAACGGCAGAAAAAAAAAATGCAAAACAACCTCAACATTTAAACTCACCATGAGAGTTTTTTTCAGGGCAGAGTCTACGTTTTCAGGTAAACATGAACTCAAGACTATTACTTTTCTCATAACATCTTTACCTCCCCAACAATACAACCCTTGATCACTCAAAATACTTGAAAGTTTCACATCTGTTACCAATCACCATAATAACACACAAATAAATAATAACATCAATTCACTCACAAAATTAGAAGAGAGGGACAGTTAACCTCGACAACAGATGGATCCAGAATCTTTGATTTCAGGTAAGAACTCATTAATAGGCAAGTTGTTAACAGCATGGTGGAAATCACGGAGACTGAAGTTTCCGCTTGGTCTGAATGCGATTTTTAGCTGTTTCAAAATACATTCAATTGAATCCAATTCATTATTTTTTTTAAGTGAGAATTACACATACATATCTAGAATTTGAACTCTGTTAAAGTGAAAATCATAAAAAAAAAAAAAATGTGTTATGCGTATTAAAAATATGAATAAGTTACTGCTATTACGCAAGTTAATTGAATTTGTGAATTATAAAATCAAACTTCAGGTACCTCATCGGAAGAAGAAACGCGATTGTTAAAGAGGTAGCACAAGCCGATTCGATCACTGAGAGAGTTTGATTGGCGCAAAGACGGTGAAGTGGCGTAGAAATTGGCAAGCTGTAGCAACAACTGACGAATAGAAAACAAATTCAAAAATTTAGTCAATCGATCGATCATCTTCGCCTTCAATATTATTGTTATAGATGATAGAAACAATAACACCTGCTTTAAGTCTGCGAGTAATGGAGGCGAGAGGCTACGCAAATCTAAGACGAAACACAACATTACCATTTCTCTTCCAATTCTCTCTCTTCCGTTGCTTCGTTTCGCGCGAAATAGTTTGGTTTGAAATTTGATTTCAACAGGTCAACGTTTTACATACCGGCTTGATTTTTTAATCATTATCTGGAACCAATAATATGTGAAACCCCAAACTGTCCCTGGGTGATTTTGAATTAAAATAGTAAAATATTTATTTACTCACTTATCTTAGTTATCTAACGTTTAAAAACAGGAATTAATTAAAAAAAAAAAAAACTTAAAACGTTGCTACCTGAACAATTCTTTAATTGTTTGCATTAAAATAATAAATAAATAAACCAATACTGTTGATAATTGCGTATGTGTGTAATCATGTGAATCCCTCCCGAAAACAATACTGTTTGAACTTTGAAGAATAAGTAAACCAAATAAAGCTTTAGAAGGAACTAAATATACCAAGCCAAAGATGAAAAAAAAGGTAATTTGAAACAAACATAAGATAGTTCATAACATTGTTGCTTACAATACAAGCTAGACTACAATACTCAAGACACTCCAATAAATATCGGTATGTTTGTGATAATTAATAAACACATGACTATATATGTTCTTTCATGTGTCAAACACATATAATATTTATGTGATTTACAGATTGATAAATCTTGAAAATGTTTCATTAAGGATGCGATTATCCTCCATTTTGGAAACTGAGATTAATTTCCTCTCAAGCTTACGGATAACCTCTGAATCCAGCTCGAACAGGCCACTACTGATGCTGACCACCCCGGGATTCTGGCTATTCAACACTGAGAAAACAGTTGCAAATTCAAAACCAGTGTTGAAGCAGAAGTGAAGCAGCCCTTTGGGGAACACAAACACATCTCCTGCCCTGAGAACCGTTTGGAAAACCTTGTTTGAGGTGTCGACAAAACCAGCTATCACAACACCTTTGAAGACGAAGAACAGCTCAGAGGCTCTGGGATGAGAGTGAGGTATTACAAGACCATCCACTTCAAGATCAGTTCTGCCAATGGAAAGGCCAAGAGTGTTAAGGCCTGGAAAATCTGAAGCAGTGGCAAGGGTCAACGAGGAATGGAATAAGTTGTCTGTGTTGCCCGGATTCTTCAGTTTTGAGGACTTGAAATCTGAAGCAATGATGGTGGCTGGATTCTTGCATGGGAAACCATTGATGAAGATGGTTTTTTGCCCAGTTGTAGCTGTTGGGCAGGTATCCTGGAGGTTATCATTATCTGCTAAGCAGACAATGATGCAAGTGAAGCAGATGATGCAAAAGAGAAGGTTGGTTTTCATATTGTTTTTTTCTTTTGGTTTTTTGGGGCTTGGTATTAAGTTATAAGGAATGTCTCATTTATAAATGCTTTTATATGTAATATGTTGCAGAGATTGCAAGAAATTGAAGTTATCTTTTGAGGCTTGGAGTTTACTGCTGGACCAAGAAGAGCCTTGCTTTAAAGAAAGATTATCTCAAAATCAGTTAGACGGTTAATTGTCCATGTACTTGAAATGCTAAGGAACTAGCAGAGGACCCAATGTTTGCCATTCATTGGAACATTATTTACATGTTTTTTCTGAACCTGTAATCTTTCTTGCCATTACAGGAAAGCAACTGGCTCCACGGACTGCTGTTAAGCATTAAAGCATGGCCTTAGGACTAGAGTATAATTTAGAGAATCAATATCACACTGGTAATTAAAATAAGGTATGATGTCAATTATTAGAAACCCTGTTCCTTAGGTTAGGAGTTTACCTGCATTGAGCTTCACCGAAATATATGTAAATTAATCTATTAAATTCAAGCACTAGATGTTAGCCGTAACTGTAAAATTGACTTTCATGGTGATATTAACATAGTATATGAAAAATAAGTTACGAAAAACTTTACCATACACACATGGAAGAAAACCTCTCGTTTACAAAATTAATTTTTCTTTCTGCTGCTAGATTCAGCCATTTCTCTTATGAAGCAACTCAAAATTGTGCATCACGATGATGCTCTACAAGAAAGCCACTAAAGAAAGCAAATACTAGTCTTATATAAGCACAGGAATGCAAGAAATATAGTAAATTATAGATAACTCCCATACGTTTCAGAAAATGAAATACAAACATGGTCAGACTGGGAAAATTCAGATTCAACAGTGTTGCTTTCTCTTTTCAGCCAAAACTGTAGCAATGGTAGAGTAAAAATTACTTAAAGAAGTCAGGAAATGCACTGAAATGATCTGATCAAATCTCAATCTACAAGACAAGACTCTGTCCAGTAGAAAAAAAAAATTGAACCTAAGCAGAACCTAAATTGGAGAAGTCACCAATAAAGCCATATAAAAAGCAACAACAGCACAGATAGTTGTGAAAACTCCTTGCGGTGTGAATCTTCATTCACTAGAACCATTCTCAGTAAAACTACATTTATTCTCTGAATCCTGTGAAGAAGCTTTAGTTGACAGTTCATCTGGACTAGTAAGAATCTCAGAGACAAATTTTATGAAAGAGCAGAGCCCACCCAAGAAGTTATGATCAATAATACCTTTGCCCTCCACCACATGTGCAAAATCCACAAGTTTAATTTCAGCACCTGAACTCCTGCCTTTCAAAAGTGACTCCTTTTCATACACCATAAGAACTGAACAAGAATTAAAATGATAAATTGTTTGATCTTCAAACCATGCTTTTAGCTCCAACAATTGTGCCAGAATCCCAGTGGAACCACCATAAACAGTTGGTGCAAAAGAACAGTCTGGGACTGATTTTGAATCAGTAGGTGAGTTAGATGAAACAAACTTCCTTAGGACTAATCTGACATCATCTGCAGTAAATGCTTGGACAAGCTTCTTCTCTGGCTTCCAGAATCCCGATTCTTTGTTTACATATATCTGCAACCCAGATATCCTAAAACCCAATAACAAACTGGTGGTTTCTGCGTCCTTCTTATGGCATCTCTGGATATAGTCCTCAGATGCTTCAGGGTACCATGTTCTTGAACCAATCTTAATGTCTATGATGGATGGATTGAGGTGTTTCGACACAAGATCTTCCAAAACCAGGTGGGGACGGAGGCCAGATCCATCAGATGCCTCCAAAAGTTGAGTTCCATAGAATACAGGGAAGAACCTACGGATGTGATCAGGGATCTTCATATTGGAGGAAAAGGATGTGTAGAAAGCTGCCTCGTTGGAACCTCGTTCATCATCCTGGAGAGGTTTGTAGAATCGTCCTGAATCATCAATAAGGGGTCCAAGTTTTCCATCACGGGCTTGGTGACCTGCAACTTGATGGTCTGGGATCTTAAGCATAATGCAAGCTAGTATGAAGAATCCTACAAATAAAAACAGTATGGTATTTCTTCACCTCAAAAAAAGTAAGATCGAAGCTGATGTAGTTGAAAAGCTACAAACACTTTAGAAACAGTAAAATAAGAAATGAAATGTTCACCGGATCGATATCAGTGAAAATAAATTCTCCCCTATTTTTTGACGGTAAATTACTAGCTAAAAGAGGGAAAGATAGACATGAGAAACTGCACTTTCCTAGGGAGCATTGAACAGTCCACATTTATATTGAGAGAAAAAAAAAAATACAGTGCTTTACCGATCAAAACCTCATTCATGCAGAAAGGGCTATTAACTGAATTATTTGAGAAAAAATCTTCAAATTCAGAAATGCGAGTTTCCGAAACAGTAATCGTCAGATGAATTCAACATTACATCTCCAACAGACTTCAAATCTTCAGATAATTTGATATGACCATTAACGTACATGTAAAACATTTATATATCAAAGGATACTATTAAGGAGATAAGCATAGAAGCACAGAAGCACAGAAGCAAAAATTGAAAAGTTAACAGTTCAGTGACCATCAACAGAATATAAATGAAGTTCTCATATGCGGACAATAACAAAATGAATTGGGATCAAAATGATGAACTTTTATGATAAATAGAGGTTTCCCCAGAAGCCAAATTTAAACTTTTAATTAAATAACCAACCTATACCTCAGATTAAGTAAAAAAGAAGATAAAAGAAAACCTTAAACACTGGGAAACAACTGAATATCAAAATAAAAAAGAACCCACGTAAAGAAATAAATACAATGGCATTATAACAGTATTTAATGAATTACCTTTCTTAAGCTTCCAAATCAAAGAGGCTGTCCAGCTTCAAAAATTACTACTATCTTATTCTATTTAAAAGAGGAGAATTAAGAATCAGGTGTGCGTTGGGTTTAAGGGTTATTATTTTAATAGCATTGGTTTTTATATGAAGAAAGAAGATAAGAAGGTCAGAACCTTGAAGTAAGATCAACAGATGCTGAGTTTGTGGTTGGCTGCTTTTGCCCGTCCACATCTGGTTTTATTTACAGAAACGTGTATTCAGAAGGCCGAAAAAGTAGTACCCAGCCCAATGCTTGAGCAATCTATTATTCTGGGCCCATTTCTGGGCCCATTAACTATTGATGGTGGGGGTGATGTTTACTAAAAGAAGGTTGAATATTTATCACGCATTGTTATATAGGAACAGTTCAGTGTATTTTAATGTTAACATAACTATAAGGTTGTTTGCTTGTATCATACTGTTTTAACAATTTTGCTAATATTTATATATAACATGTTTACTAAAAGAAGGTTGAATATTTATCAAGCATTGTATAGGAACAGTTCAGACTATTTTAATGTTAACGTAACTATAAGGTTTTTTGCTTTTCTCATACCTGTTTTTAACAATTTTGCTTAATCCTTATTATATAAATTTTTGTCCTAACATATAAATAAAAATTAAAACTAAACAGTGAAAGTCCACGTAGTTGGTAATATTTTGATTTGAGCTACCATTTCTTGCCAATGGGACATCACATCCAGATTCGATCATTTAAAGAATCAGATGCGAATGCGATGGGGTCAAAGGCTCAAAGCGTCAACTAGATTTGGGTGCGGGAACTGCAATACCCTTCTGATATTAAGGACCCAAATACATTTATTTTTTTACTTGTCTACTTCCGGCTCGAAAAACATTGAGATTCATTAATGGTCTGAAACAAGGAGATTCGGCAGCAACGACAACTTGGCAATCATGTTGATTGACATGAATCTTGCATCTCCTTTTGCATGGACACGTCTCTTTGTTTTTGTAATTTTTTCTTCACTTACTGTCACTTCTGCTGCTGCTGCTTTGCCCAAGTCACAGTTTCACTCTCCCTTTACTATTACCAATTTAACTCATCGTCTTCTTGCCAGCACCTGTAATGAAATGGTACTAATTTTCTCTCACCCTCTGTGTCTTTCTGCTTATGTTTGTTCTTGCATATGCATAAATTTTGACTTTTGCCAATACCCATTTGTCCATTTTGTAGATTGTGGAACATGGGTTGAATGATTATTGTAAAGCTTAGAAATGTTTTGTCCTTGTTTGGGTATAATATTTGGAAGTCTTTCAACAGCTGACTCTGAGAACCCGTGGAAATAAAAAGAGAAGAGAATGCCGAAATATTTTATAATTTGCTTTTACAACTTCTAAACTGTATACAGAATCACATTTAAGAAACTGTGATCTGGTTTGTATGCAATTAAGCTTATTTGAAACTTTTGTAACCTAACACTCCACACAACAGGTGTGAACTATTAAAAATATGTGGAAAATGTTCTCTCAGAAAGTTTTGATGCATTCCGGTAATCTTATGCCTAGGTAATAGTAAGCTAATTACGTGAGGCATGAGGAAGCCATTTTATTTGTATAATTTTATCTCGGTTTTTAATAGAAGACGTGTGTCATGTTGTTTGATCAGGACAGTAAAAAGAATAGTGAATGTTCAGAAAAACTCAGGGAAGCTTCAACACTTAGATGTGGGTTTAAGTTGCTTGATAGCAACTTCTTCAATGAAAGAAAGGTGATTTTAAGCTATTTGTACATTGATTAGGCAAAGATTTTGATTCTGTAATGGTTAGCGTTTTTCATTTCTTTCATACTCTATAGTAGTGGTTGATCAACTCTTTTCATTTAGTTGTTGGAGATTGCAAAAGGAGCAACAGAGTTCAACATACCTATAATCAGGGCCAACCGGAAACTAGTGGCTTTTGAGGATGGAGGGTTGCATAATCCGTCTGCTTTACTTTTTAATGCTGATTGGGGCAGTGGACAGGCACAAGAAGTGAGCAAAAGATTTTATTATCCCTCTTTGTCAAACATACAGAAGCCGGAGCATGAAGAGGACATTGCTTTCATGAGTGTAAGTTGGCTTATGACGCAGGAGAAACAGGCAGAGTTGAACTGTATGACCTGTTTCATTGTTTCCCTTAATATGTATACTTACTGAGTCTTCATCAGGTTCTCGAATTGGGGGCACTGATTAAGTCTAAACAAATTACATAAGAAAAGCTCACTCGAATATTTCTGAAGAGATTAAAGAGGTAACCAAATAAAAATATACCGCTGTTGTGCTTTCTGATATTCAATTTCGTTTTCTAATGATAATGATGGATGGTGGGAATAAAACCAGGTACAATCCTGTTCTTGAAGCTGTGGTTACTTATACTGAAGAATTAGCTTATAAGCAAGCAAAAGAAGCTGATGAATTGCTTGCCCAAGGAAAATATTTGGGTATGCCTCTATCTATTTATTGTCTGTATATCTAAGAATAACAAGAATTTTCTCATCACTTTCATTTTAACATTAACATGATACCAGTAATAAGTGGTCTTGGAGTTGGAATGGAGGCATTATATCTTCTACATTTTATTTTACTGAACCTTCACCGGGTATGAGCAAACATCGTTGCTTGAAAAGATACCAACCCTTTTGAAACTCATCTGACATCAGTGATCACCTTATCAGGATTATATAGCAAAGTAAAAAAATAGGCAGTTTTCAATTGAATGTACTTGGAAATTTAGATTTGGAAAAGGAAGTAGGATGGGCCAACTTTTTCCCATTTGATGTGTGAAGCTATATGGTGTTGTAAGGAACCTTTACAGTGTGACTGGTTCTCTGAAAGTATTTACATTGAAATTGCCATCACCTTCTTTTCTTTCTTTCTTTCTTTCTTTGGTCATGTATTTAGTCATTGTTGATTTGCTTTTAGATCTTTTAGTGAATTTTTGTAGGCCCTCTGCATGGGATTCCTTATGGGTTGAAGGATATAATTTCAGTACCACAATACAAAACAACTTGGGGTTCAACAACTTTCAAAGATCAAGTCCTTAACACTGAAGCCTGGGTTTACAAGAGGTACGGAATGTAATTCAAATGTTGTAACTGCATGTAGAAAATAAATCCAAGTCATATTTGACTACTTGAAGTTTTGGCTCTGCTCAATGCAGGTTGAAGTCAGCAGGAGCAGTTCTTGTTGCAAAGCTTGTTTCTGGGTCACTGGCATATGACGATATCTGGTTTGGGGGTAGGACAAGGAATCCTTGGAATATTGAGGAATTCTCAACAGGTTCATCAGCTGGGCCTGCTGCTTGCACCTCAGCTGGTATTCTTTTGCTTTGATGGTGTTCAATATTTTCATTCCCTGCAATATGTTGTTCTGCATTTTATCTTGGGTTTGAGTAATCTCAACCTTATTTTAAGGGAAAATTACTTCAAAGCAAGGAATGATGTTGAAGTAGTTTTTTCAGATCTTTCTCCTTTTTCATATTTGTTTTGTAATTGCAAGACTTAAATTGCTTCAATTAAGACATGAGCTTTATTTATAACAGGTATGGTTCCATTTGCAATTGGTTCAGAAACAGCTGGCTCTATAACCTACCCTGCATCTCGTTGTGGAGTGACAGCATTACGCCCAACCTTTGGCACTGTTGGGCGAACTGGTGTGATGAGTATATCAGAGAGCTTGGTAGTATTCCAAATGTTTTCTTTTCACATGATTTTCCTTTCTCTCCCTCTTCTTTGGGGTAGTGTAGTGAGGTTGCAATCTATGTACGGTGCTTGACAGGATAAGCTTGGCCCATTCTGTAGAAATGCTGCAGATTGCACAATTGTTTTGGCTGCTATCCGAGGGAAGGATCCTGATGATCTCTCATCAAGAGATATCCCATTTGGTGATCCATTCTCAGTAGACATTACAAAACTAACAGTTGGATATCTTGAGGATGCTGAGATGGAGGTTAGACAAGCTGTTTGTTTACTTTACAATTCCTATAACATAGTTAAACTCAAAGTTAATGGTTGCAACCTCACCAAACTACATTCTTGGGATGCAATGCTAGGTGGTTCAAGTTCTCGCGTCAAAGGGCGTTAATATGGTTCCTTTCAAACTGAACTATACTGTTGACTCTGTTCAAGGAATCCTGAATTTCACGATGGATGTTGAAATGTTGACTCACTTTGATGTGTGGCAACGCTCCAGGAAGGATGATGATTATGAAGCTCAAGAACAATGGCCAACTGAATTACGCCGTGCTCGTATAATCCCAGCTGTAGATTATTTGCAGGTCTGCTGACAAGTTATTAACTTATATCATTCATATTATAAATGGGATTAATGTGATTTTTTTCTTTAGTTAGTTTAAATAAGTCTCCTGCTGCTAAACAATTCACTGACAAAAGTCTGCACTGTTACTTTCTTGAGTAAAAGACACTGCTAATTTGGTGATTTCCACGATGAAATGAAGAAGTAAACAACACAAAGAAAAAGTTCTTAGTTGAAGCATAACTGAGAACTACATATCTATTTTCTTGTTTTCAGAGATGTTTTAACTATTCAGATTTTCATAATTGTCCAGGCACAAAGAGCACGAGGAAAATTAATCAGGGAAGTGAAAGACAGTTTTACAGTCGACGCCTTCATTGGAAATGCAACTGACTGGGAGAAGGTTTGCTTGGGAAACCTTGTGGGTTTGCCAGTAACTGTTATTCCCACTGGATTTAAAACTATACCTAATCCGCCAGAAGGTGGTACTCGAAGAAGAACTGCAATCCCTATTGGCATTTATGCTCCTCCGAATCATGATCACATTGTAAGCTTCATACTAACCTCTATCTGTATTTACTATCTTCTTACTCTCCCAATTATCAGCTTTTCATTTACAATGTCAGATCTAGATGGGTACCCTGAACCTCCTTGTATAACCTTCTCATTCCTTGCTTCATAAAGTAAAAGAAAGGCTTGGTTCATAGCCTGTGTCATATCGAAAGATCCGAAAAGTAGCTCATGGTCAAGTAGTGGTTCTTTATTAGGAAGAGTAATTGTTCTTTCGTTGTTCCTCTGAGCAGGCTTTGGCATTATCAATGGCTTATCAATCAGCCACAGACCACCATAAGCAGCGCCCACCTATTGATGATCTTGGGCCAAATGACACAATCCCGAATCCACCCCCAGCTGCTATCCGTCCCAGATTAATGCATCTTTGAAGGTTATATATTATCAATGTTCATGTAATGTAAAAGGCGATGAAAACCCCACTGAGATAAGAATTTCATCTTAATGTTGCAATGGAAGGTGTAATGGTAAAATTGATTCATGAAGTAGATTAAGAAGAAAAATAAATGAATTGAATGTGGCATTATGCATGTGGATAATCCCCCAGCACTTAGAAAAGTAGATTGGAAAAGGCATTTGAGCATGGTTGACATAAACATTTCCACACCTTTTAGATGGTCCGAGATTAGTCCGTGAAAAGCATGCTTTATTCCTTCGTTGTCCAAATTATCCATAAAAGGGCACAGCAACAAGATTCCAGCATCCATGCCTTGAGATCTCTTTAATCTTTTATACAGGATTCAGGAATAGCCTCTCTTAATATCCATATGGACATTCAGAAAAGGTTGGTCAAGTTTTTGGCTTTTTGCACGTTAATATGTCTTCAGAAATTTGTAAACGGAAAAGCAAAAATTGCGTTTCTTTAACATAATTTTACGTTAATTTATTTTTTCAGTATTTTTTTTAAAACAATATCAACGTGTTTTTTTTTTCTTCTTTTGTCTGTTAATTAAAAATAAAAAGAATATATATTTTAAAAGTGAGACTATTCTATTGAGATACTCTTTATTTCTTGATTTGGATGCTTCTCTGTCATCTAAAGATTTATTCTTAAAAAAGGAACACTTTCTGATGTTTTATTTGAATAAAAATGACTCTGATCAAAGATAGTTTGATTCTCATAATATACGGAACTTTTTCTAAAAGAGATCGAGTTGTATGCTCATTAACTTTGATTTAATTAACTACCTAATAAAGGAGAATAATCTTTAATTTATATAGTCAAATTTTGTAAAAAATATAGGATTAAATTTAATGAAATGAATTATTATTTATGTTATATTAATTAATAGTAACGCACTAGTGAATATGCTCTTTTATTTCATTTCTTTTCTACTTTACCATAAATTTTTTTTATCAAAAAATAAAGTAATATACCAAAAAAGGAGGTATCTGAGCGTGAAAGTTAATAGCTAAAGATGGTAAGTTGACGGTAAAGTCAAGTGATAGATGAAAAAGGTTTCATCACGTTCTTGAACGGTGTCATTTTAGTTGAGATCCAATCCAATGCTCCCTTTGATCTTTGCGTGTTCGTCCTTGCTTGACAATAACTCTTCCACAATCCACATCGCCGCATCATCTTCTGTATTCCACTGCATCACATGCACTGATGCACATGCTTTACATCTAAATTCTTGTTATTTTGGATATTCCATCAAATCCTCTTCAATAATTATAATTTTCACTGGATTTTTATTAAATATATTTACTTAATATGATAATATTAGGATAACCCAGAGCTTCTTTTTGACAGCATACGGCGTGGTGGAAAAAATATGAGTATTGTCACTATTATAACGTTATAAACGATGATCCATAGAATTATTAAAGTTTGTACTATAGTATTTATTTTAAAAAAAATCTCTGTGATCTTATTATAAAGACTCTATGATTGATTTAAATTGTAACGCATATTTATTTATACATTATTTAATACCAAAATCTTGATTCTACCTCTAGATATGAATATTAATTTAATACATTCTATCACATGTGAACTTAATTAAAAATGTTTGAATTCATAATAATGGATAATGCTAATATACGATATAAGATAATAGGTTAATAAACTTAAACTAATGAATTAACATTAATTTCATACTCATAATTTCCTTATATAATAAAAATTGAACAGGGAAAATTAATTAGAATTAGGCTAAAATTCAAAAATCACATTAGTAGGAACGGTATTGATTTCACAAATACTGAATACGATATTAAAGATAATATTAATTATTTGCAGCTTTACCTACTCCGCGTCAAATCATAATTATCAAAACTAAAAAAAAAAAAATAAAGTCAATTAATTAAAATATTTTTTCTGTAACTGTGTACAAATATAGTTAGGACCTTATAATTTATATACTGCAATTAATGTTCGCCTAACCAACCAGATTTGTATTTCGTGGTATTCTTCGTAATTTCTGCAAATACTAAGGGTAAGTTCAATCTCAGCTACTTTTTATCTATTGTTTATATGCCCCCGTTTAGTACATTGTCTCGTCCTCTCTTTTCTCTCTGATCCGCCGTCCGGTTCCCTATAAATCTGTCCCGTCTTCTCAGTTCTTAATAATTATAAATTATCAGTTACAAATTCATCTCTTTCTTCTGTTTTAGATCCGTAACGTTCAGTTTTACCTAATCCAGGTAGCTTAACGACTGCGAAAATAATTGTTTCCTTTAGTTTTATTCAGATCTTGGTTCGTTTGATTTTTGGTGATAATTATTTTATTTTATATTTTTAGTGTTTATTCGATCAGATTTAATATGTGATGATTGATTTATGAATGCGCGTGCACAGATTTGCATGCAATTAGAAATCAACGGTATTGATGACAATTTTCAGGTTCTCCGTTTGTTTGATATTCTTTTGTTTTTTGTTTATTAATTTTGAGTTTTTGTATTGATTTCGCTTGATCGAAAAATTAGATCGAGTTTTTATTTTTGCTTTTAGTTATTATTGTGATCAATCTTGCATGTTCTGTTGTTGCTTGTGTTGATTTCTTCGTTTAATGATCATTGTAAGTGTTTTATGAAGTTCGATGAATTCAATGTTGTGGATCTGATAATATTTTGTATGCTACTATGCTAGTGGTTTAATTGAATTTGTTTTTCGAAATAATTTAGTTTTGTTGACTCATTAAAAACTGTATTTACAGAATATACAAAACAAATTTATAATGTAATCAAATGAATCCGCTTTCTTATGTTTTTTCTCTTCTTTTTCTAAATTTTATGGTTTGGTTGTAGATCGTAAGTGTGAGATGGCGGCGCCAGCAGCAGGGGGACAGTGGTACAGAGGAAAAGTGAAAGCGGTTCCATCAGGGGACAGTTTGGTAGTTACGGCCTTGTCTGCCCTCAAGGCTGGACCCCCACGTGATAAAACCGTCACTTTATCATCTATTATTGCTCCTCGACAGGTAATTTTACAATTTCTGTACTTAGCTTATGTATGTATGTTGCAACTTTGCTGAAGAAATCAGCTGTATTTTGTAATCCAAAGGTTTTCATAAGGTTAAATGCTTGTAAAGGATGTAAGTTTATGAGTCATTCTAGAAATATACCAGTTCAGTCTTAAATCATAACGATCTTTAGGTTCATTTACAATGACGGTAACATGATAATAAGAACTCTTCTTGAATTATAAATTGTTGTATTTGTTAAGAGTTATTTGAATTTCAACAATTTTCACTGCATGAATGTTAGACAGATTACTGACTGGACTTGTTTTGTCATGATTTCTATATCTTGTTTGTAGGCCCGTAGAGGAGGTATGGATGAGCCATTTGCTTGGGACAGCAGAGAATTTTTGAGGAAGCTCTGCATAGGAAAGGTTCTCAGTTTTGTTCTGTTTTGGTTGTTGTTAGTTGGTCACGTAATTTTATTTGGAATAAGCTAAATCAATATTTGCTTTATGCAGGAGGTCACTTTTAGAGTGGATTATGCTGTAGCCAGTATAGGCAGAGAATTTGGCACCGTTATCCTTGATGATAAGAATGTTGCAATGTTGGTTGTTGCCGAAGGCTGGGCAAAGGTTATACATATTTTTTTTTCTGTGGATTTGGAAGTATTGATTTTTGCTTTTGCTTAGGGTATTTATTAGTGGAACTCTGTTCTATGCAGGTCAAGGAGCAGGGCTCCCAGAAAGGTGAAGCAAGTCCTTTCCTTGCTGAATTGCTACGTGTAGAAGAGCAAGCAAAGCAACAAGGTCTTGGCCGCTGGAGCAAGGTTATCCTGTTTCCCTACTTCCTACTTCCTCTTTGATCTGTTGTAAATCTAAATTGCTGCTCTCTGTTCCTTGGATATAATAATCTGACCTCTGGTAGGGATCTGTTAATTTTAAAAAACCGAAAGATTTATGAATTCAGTACCTCTATTGCTTTTGTTCCTTGGAATTTGGAGGATATTCGAAAAAAACTTAATGGGGTGAAGGAACTCTTGGATAGTAAAATTAGTATGAAATTTTGAGCTGATAACTTATGACTCAGCTAAGAGAAAGAGCACATATTTTAAGGTGCTTGTTTGATTATATGAGTATATAAACATCTATACTGGGGGTATTTTAAACTAGAGTTATTGGGTGGTGTGTTAGTTCTGAATGACGTGTTTGGAGCTTGCTGGGCAATAAATTAACAGAGCATGCATTCCCATATTTCAAGCTGTTGTTTACTATTGTTCTAGCTTCTCTTATCACAATTTGTTAAAGTTGAAGTTTCATAGTTAGTTTTTTTAGATGATCAATCATGAATGATATGGACAAAGCAAAGGAAAAACTTGGAGGTCTGATGTTTTAGTACTTTTAAAACAGTACTATTATTGTATAACACTGAACAAAATAATAAATTGGTCATTGGATAGCTGGAGTGCTCACATTGTGAGTCTGCTACTATTTTGCAACCGAGGTGAAGTAAACTTGAGGTACTAAGAAAGGGAGAGATCTAAACTAGAATGTTTTATAGATATCTAGGATCTGTTGTGTTTAAAAGCAGAAACTGAGGTAAGTTGCTTAAAGAAAGTCAGTAGAGGGCTGAATTTATTAGTATAGTGTGAATTCACTCATACTAGTGGCAGTAACATTGCTAGAGAAGGTAAGATGGCATTGCAGACTTTCAAGGTTTATATTTGCTGAATTAGCTATAATATGTTGGACTTGGAATGTTCATGGTGAGAGTGCTTCCTGAGATGGATAGAGAAGTATATTTTCTCATAATTTTTTGTTGATACTCCTGGCAGTATTTGAATGTCAAAAGTAAGGTGTTGAACTGTGAGTTTCTTATATTACGCAACACATCTTTTGATATCAAACATCATGTGATGTGTAATAATTTTAGTTATGCGTATAGTGTATACATGCTCAAAATAGTTTTGAACTATCATGGACTATGCGAAGTTTTAAAATGGATTCACTTTTCTCTCTCTTGGAAATGACATAATGATTTTGCCCTTCATCAGTCATTTTTCCTTTTTGGTTTCAACAACCTTAAATGAATATATTAGATGTCATTTATTATTCTTTGTAGAGTGTATCTTATCATAGTTTCACCTAGATTTAAAAAATTTCCATTCTCTATTCCTCTCTTTCTCTGACAGCTGAAATTCTTAATGAGAAAGCCATAGCCATGAAATATCTTTTTTCTGCTCACCTCCTTTTCCATGATAACTCGTGTGCCTACGATATAGGAAGTTTTTTGATAAAAAAAGGTTCCTTAAATAGGTTACTGGTCTTTGTTTGTACCTGTGTTATTACGCTTAGACTTAGATCAGTGTGTATCTCTTCAGTTATTGGACCATTCGCTTTGTATGTGACATCTATTAAAGTTTTAAAAAATGACATGTTTGGCAATAAACATGTGGTTGTAATGACTGTCTAATGGCTGAATGGTCTTTGTATTCCTGGTTGTAGGTTCCAGGTGCCGCTGAGGCTGCGGTGAGGAAACTACCACCCTCTGCCATTGGTGATTCTGGTAATTTTGATGCAATGGGTCTATTAACTGCAAACAAGGGTAGGCCCATGGAATGTATGGTTGAACAGGTTCGTGATGGCAGCACTATACTGGTCTACCTGCTTCCAGAATTTCAGTTTGTCAAAGTCTTTGTTGCTGGAATCCAGGTTGATATTTTACACCTTGATTGGTATTTGTCTACATGTAAAAATTTCTTTTACGCCTTATTCACTAATTTAATATGATTTCATGTCATTTTTCCTATTTGAATTCAGGCCCCGGCAGTTGGTCGGAAGCCTGCAGCTGTTAGTGAAGTAGATACCACTTCTGATGAGATCAATGGAGATATTTCATCTGGATCTCAAGGTCCTTTGAATTCTGCTCAGAGACTTGCTGCCTCAGCAGGCACAACTACTGATGATCCATATGCGGTAGATGCCAAACATTTTACGGAGCTTCGTGTTTTGAACAGAGAGGTAAGAGAATTACTACTGAAGTTTGTCTTCTTCATATAAATACTTTTTTAATGGTCTTAATTCAAAGTTTATTATTTGGTAGGTACGCATTGTCCTGGAAGGTGTTGACAAATTCAGTAATTTGATTGGCTCGGTGTATTATCCTGATGGGGAAACGGCTAAGGACCTAGCATTGGAGCTTGTGGAAAATGTATGTGCATAGATTTTGTCTCGCTTTTATACATGTGCATAATTTTGATACGGAACTGAGTATTGTGATGTTTTGATGTTTGTTGCTGTGGTCTGCTTCTTTGTTGTAGGTCTTGTATATTACTACTTAAAGATTACTGTTATATGGATTGAGGCTTGTGGATGATGACAGATGTTATCTTTGTTTATTTTAGTTCCTTGTCCACTAGAAAATATCTGAAATGACATCTAACAACTCTCTAAGTTTGTTGATGAAATTTCAGCCTATTGTATTGTTATGCTGGTGATCAAGCCACAGAATTATTTTTCCAATTTGAGGCTTGGATAAATTGTACTAGCATTTATAAAATGAAAATATGTATGTGAATGTGTTTGGGACTGTGCAAAGATTTTGTTTTGATACTTTGCACATGAAAGCCCTTGTGCATATGCCCCTTTTTTTGTTCATCATGTTGTGGTAATTACTATGGAGATGGAAGTGAAGGTAAGGCTTGCATGTGCTTTCAATTTCTCCAAAGTTGTTTTCCATGTGTATATGTACTACTCTGGTCATTGTTGTGCCTTATTTCACATTATGCCGAATCATTATGCCATGGGTTTGCATTGACATTCTGTTCAATGGTGATGCAGTTTGCTAGTTTAATAAATTTTGCTTATCTCTACTTAAAACTATGAAATGCCTATGACACTGCTTTACATTATTGTATTTGTGCTTGTTATTATCTCTGGTACATTTGGCTATTATAAATTATTTCCACTCTTACCGTAGGGCTTAGCTAAATATGTTGAATGGAGTGCGAATTTGATGGAAGAAGATGCTAAGCGAAGACTAAAGAATGCAGAGCTTCAAGCCAAGAAAAGCCGGTTGAGGATCTGGACGAACTATGTACCTCCAGCAACAAATTCAAAAGCAATTCATGATCAGAATTTCACTGGGAAGGTAGTAGCCGCTTCAAGTTATGGCTATGTAATATTCTTTGCTTTATGGTTATGGGTTTTTAGTTCAATTATAATTGTTTCCCAGGTTGTGGAGGTTGTCAGTGGGGACTGCATCATTGTGGCTGATGATTCTATCCCATATGGTAGTCCATTGGCAGAGCGACGAGTCAATCTTTCAAGTATTAGGTGTCCAAAAATTGGCAATCCACGTAGAGATGAAAAGCCAGCTCCCTATGCCAAGGAAGCAAGAGACTTTTTAAGAACACGACTCATTGGCAAACAAGTATGCAACGTTATTTACTGAACGTCATTTGGATCATTGTGGCAATTTTAGCTTATGTTTCTATTAAATGTTTTTGCAGGTTAATGTTCAAATGGAATATTCCAGGAAGGTCCCCAATGCAGATGCAACTATGGCTTCAGATGCAAGAATAATGGATTTTGGATCAGTTTTCCTCCAATCTTCCGCTAAGGGTGAGGCTGATGATGCATCTGCAGTGCCTTCATCAAATTCTGCCGGCCAGCCGGCTGGAATTAATGTTGCTGAGCTTGTGGTATCACGCGGCTTTGGCAACATAATCAAGCATCGAGATTTTGAGGAAAGATCAAATTATTATGATGCCCTTCTTGCTGCTGAGTCACGTGCTAGTTCTGGGAAGAAAGGGGTTCACTCTTCCAAGGATCCTCCAGTCATGCACATAACAGACTTGACTACGGTTAGAAAATTACCATAATATCTGTCTTCACTACATTATCTAGCTTATATTTCTTATTGTATATTCCATTGAATTGTCACTTGCAGGCATCTGGCAAGAAAGCTAAAGATTTCTTGCCATTCCTCCAGAGGAGCAGGAGAATTCCTGCCATTGTTGAATATGTTCTTAGTGGTCATCGATTTAAGTTGTTGATTCCCAAGGAAACGTGCAGCATTGCCTTTTCATTCTCTGGTGTTCGTTGCCCTGGTCGTGGTGAGCCCTACTCTGATGAAGCAATTGCACTAATGAGACGCAAGATTTTACAGAGAGATGTGGAGGTATTGCACGTCTTTAAACCCAGTAGTGCCACTTTGGTTGCTTTGCATACTCGGCTAACTCTATATGCATATTTTTACCCAGATTGAAGTGGAAACAGTTGATAGAACTGGAACTTTCTTGGGATCCTTGTGGGAGTCAAGGACCAATATAGCGGTGACACTTATTGAAGCTGGCCTGGCAAAGCTGCAAACTTCTTTTGGCAGTGATAGAATTCCAGATGCTCATCTTCTTGAACAGGCTGAGCGATCTGCAAAATCTCAGAAACTGAAAGTAAGAATCAGAATATGTATGTGCATTACTGCTGTAGTCTTGTGTCGATTCCTTCTAATTGAAATATTGTTACAGATTTGGGAGAATTATGTTGAAGGGGAGGAAGTGGCGTCCACCAACGGTTCAGCTGTTGAAAGCAAACAGAAAGAAGTACTGAAGGTGCTGGAGATATTATTGCATCATTTATCGTCCTCTTCATGGTTCTTGTATGGTAAATGACTTGTCCTGCTTACCTTTATTTTCAGGTAGTGGTTACAGAAGTTCTGGGTGGTGGTAAATTTTATGTCCAGCAAGTTGGGGATCAGAAAGTTGCTTCAATTCAGCAACAACTTGCTTCATTGAATCTTCAAGAAGCTCCTGTTATTGGTGCTTTCAATCCCAAGAAGGGTGACATTGTCCTTGCTCAATTTAGTGCAGATAATTCCTGGAATCGAGCTATGGTTAGTAGAGGCCTTTTATGTTGATCATGTTGCATCCATTATGATTTTGGGCAAATGTACCAATTACTTTCTGTTTGTTGAGAGATGGGTAGTGGGTATTATAGAAACTTATTAAATGAAAGCTTTTTATTTTGTGAGGGGTGCTGATATGTTTTTGATTCTTGATTTTAAGAAAAATTCAAATACAAGTCCTGGTCTTGTTGTTCTCTGGCTTATGTCTTTCTGATTTCATATGTTTAGATTGTCAATGCACCTCGGGGAAATGTTGAATCTTCAAATGACAAGTTTGAAGTGTTCTACATTGATTATGGAAATCAAGAGGTTGTTCCATACAGTAACCTAAGGCCTATTGATCCTTCGTTATCTGCGGCACCTGGTCTGGCTCAGCTATGCAGCCTTGCTTACATTAAGGTTCCTGGCTTGGAGGATGAGTATGGCCCTGAAGCTGCTGAATTTTTGAGTGAGCACACATTAAGCAGTTCAAAAGAATTTAGAGCCAAAGTTGAGGAGAAGGATACTTCTGGAGGAAAAGTTAAGGGACAGGGAACTGGGACAATTCTTGTTGTAACTCTGGTTGCTGTGGATGCTGAAATCAGCATAAATGCTCTTATGCTGCAGGTTTGAACAATAGTCCTTGGTTTACTTGGTATTTCTGTTATACATGTTTTCTCTGTTCAGTTGGTTTCATGTCCTTAATGAGTTGTTGAATTTACTAGGTGGATTTGATGGAAAGTTTACTTATAATCTTATTTCTTCTGTATGAAGTCTTCTAATCTTCATGTAAACAAAAAAAAAAAAAAAAAGCTGGGAATGTGAAACTTATCCCTTATTCGAAGGAAAAGGATTAGTAATTCTGTAAATGGGAAACTTACCCTTTTACTTTGGTGCTCGTTGTTGCTGCAATTATGTTATTGGCATGTTTTGAATCATATTTTATCACTATATTGTCTTGAGTGCTTTTGACTTTGTTGCTTATTTTCTCTATTTTCTGACTGTTTTGTTCAATTTTCTAAATTATCCGTACAGGAAGGACTTGCTAGGTTAGAGAGAAGGAAGAAATGGGAGCCCAAGGATAGACAGGCTGCCCTTGAAAATTTGGAAAAGTTCCAGGAAGAAGCCAAGACTGGAAGGCTCGGGATGTGGCAGTATGGAGATGTCCAGTCAGATGATGAGGACTCAGCACCTCCAGCTAGAAAGGCTGGTGGTCGACGATGATTATAACTAGACCAGACCAGACCAGACCTCGGGTAAACTAAAGACAAAAATCTACTAGTGGCCTAAATCGAGTTTAAGTATAGGTACGAAGGAACAGTGAAATGATGCGGAGTTAAATTGCAGTCTAAACTTGCTTAAGTTTTGTCTTAACTTTATTTTTTGTTTTATTTATTTTTATTTTTTTGAAATTTTCTTTTGTAGCTGAGGGTACATTTTTTTTACACATGACATAATAAGGTGAACTGAACTGAGTTTGTCCGGTCTCCATTTGGGGATTTTATAAACAATTTTTGTTTTGAGCTATGTCGTGTATGTTGCTGCTGTTGGTATTGCCTTGGACTATAAGAAAACATTTGTATTATGAGAGAACGACTTAGACATACCCAAGGTTTTTCGTAATGACAGGTTGGCACCTAAAAGGTTTGACAAAGATAAATAGATATTTTCTGTCCTATACTGTTATAGATTTCTGTTTTATAATAGTAAAAAGATTAGAATGCCCTTTGAAGTTTGACATTTTAGTTTTTTATTAATTTATCACTAGTCAACTTATTCAATTACATAAATACCCACATTATTATGGTAAATTATATTATGCCCTCATGTTATTATGAGTTAGTGAAATGACCATTTTGTCCTTATGAGTTTGTAAAAAATGAGACACAACAATTGACCAATTTCTCCCTGTGTTGGTAGAAGCATTATCAATATACTCATTTGTGGCTGAAAATTGAAAATTTTCATAATTTAAAAGAAAGCATCATAATTAACATCAATTCAGTACATGATATTCAATATCAATTAAGTCTTCATGGTTTAAACAGAAATCTTGAATTCAATACATGAACATGTGATATACAACTGAAACTTCAAATTTCAAATGAGGTTTGAAAAACTAAGCAGTTTCCAAATGCACACCCATAACTGTAAAAATAGGCACAAAATTGTCCTCTTCTCCATCTTGCAAATCCACAAATGCACACCCATAGCTGTAAAAACAGGCACAAAATTGTCAAAGGACACATTTTGAGGGGCGGACCTTTGTTAAGAACAATGATATTATTTATGACACCATTACCAAATATACTTTTCCAATGTAATAAACTCTAGATACATACTCTTGTCTAGTACAAACATCATCATTGCAAATCCACTACAATGGGAATGCATCGTGCAAACTAGATTCCTTAAAAAGGGACATGAGAACATTGAAAATTTTGTAAAGATAAAATCATGTTCCAGCATTCTACTACAATTAAACCAGTGGCAGGGGTCTAAATAGAGAGACTAATCCTTCCTTAGTTCCATGTATTCACGGAGAAGACCTTCTTGATTTAAGACAACAATTTATGTTTTTTGAAAGAAACAAAAACTAAAAAAAAAATTCAGATGTGATACCCTTCTAATACTCTACCCCAAATAATGAAATAGTAGTAACCCTTTTAGACAAGAACCCATACAATAATAGCAATCAACAACCAATAAACCAGAGCAATTAGCCAAGAAACCTAGAAAAATATAGCAACCAACAACCAATAAATCACCCAACCAGCAAGCCAATACAAGGATAATAAACAACAAAATGTAACCCAACGACACAGATAAAGAACAGCAAAGCAAAACTAAGACCAAAAGAGATAAAAACAATGCAAGACTGCAAATATCCTCCCCTATTTTCCACTCTTCACTTTTCTGAATATCCTCCTATATTCTCCCTGACTCCTTTTTATCCCATTCAGAATCTCTCCATGACAGAATTCCCACCTATCCCACATAATTCTTCCTCAACATTCACACACCTAGGAACACTTTTGCCCAACTACAAATAATCCTCTACTACCCATTCCAACACATTAGCAGGTGTTTCATCAGATTCCCATAATTCAACTGCTAATAATCTTGCACATGAACATATCACATTACAACTAAGTAATAATACACACTTATTCTTCTTACTTGTCGTGTTAGAGGTCCAGGTGGGAAAAAAGCATTTAGTCGTCTAAGCAACGTGTTCGAAACACTGAACAAAGTACAGAAACAATGGGTTAGAATAGGATAATCAAAGTACCCAAAAAAAAAAAAAAAAAAAAAGAAGTGATAGAAACAAAAACAACCTATTACTACAGCAAACAAAAGAACTTCCCCATTGCATTATTGACTTGGTTGACCTATTAAGAGAAGTAAGAATAACGTTAACGAAGGTAAAAAGTAATTGACATAAATATTATATGGTTTAAAATAGTTGTAAGTACCCCTTGAACCAGAAACTTGGGACAAGTTTGCTGCAAATCGAGCTCCTGAAAAGGGTGCAGTCATTGTGGACACAAAGATTCGCTGCAAATAAAAAAATAGAAATCAGTATTATAAGAGAAAATATGATGAAATTGACATTTTTTCTATTACCTTCTGCTTCTTCCTTTTATCTGCATTTGTTGGATTTTTTTTGCATGACCTTTTGTTATGCCCCAAGACACTGCAGACACTACACTTAAGTGTAGAGACCCTTTTAGATTTTGGCTCTTCATTTGGATCTCTCCTTCTTGATTTTGAAGGTTTGCTAACCTTGGGCTGCCTGTATGGTGGCCAAATATATTCATCACTGACCTCTGGCCAACTAGTCTTGTCGGGAACAGGGTGGACCATGTATGCATAAGTTTGCAGGTACATCGAAATTCTAAGCTTCGAATCAACATAATGTTCATAGTTGGAAATGTTCTTGTGTAACAAACAGGCAATAGCATGAACACAAGGAATTCCTGATAATTGCCACATCCCACAATCACACAGTTGCTTACCCAAAACCAGAACATGAGTTTTACATTGGTTTGCATTCTCATCATCTACTTCAAACTCATCAGATCCAAGGTACCAAACTTTGACATTTCTAGCTGCCTCAATCATCTTGTTTATCTTTCTGCGAACTACTGGTGGAAGAGGTGTAATCCACTCTATACCAACTTTCAATCTACATTATAACCGCTTCATTACCCTACGTCGGTAAAGTTCCAGTATAGGAAGTTTCTTGTCTTCACTAAGCCATGAGTTAAAGCACTCACTCATGTTGTTAGTTATGTGATCTGACTTTGTTGTTGTGTTAAACGCATGTTTGGATCATTGGTCTGGTTCATTTTCAAGCAACCATTTGTATGCACCCTCATTAACATCCTTGACACTTCCCATGGTCTCGACAAAATTTGGTATGTTTGCAGCTTTACTCACTACCTAAAACAATTTCCTCATGTGAACCCTAGAAATTTTTTTTTCCTGAAGTTTGCGTACACATGCCAAGCACAAAATCGACTCCTTGCATTTGGCCACTTTGCTTCTAGTGCATTTAGAATACCCTTCTGCCTGTCACTCATGAATGTAACATGCTCTAAATCACCCAAAAAATCATACAATAGTCCAAGGAAGAAGTTCCACAAACACATATTGCCAAAGGGAATATCCTACTATTTGCATCCATAGCGACTGTCGATAGAAGTACCCCACCATAGTGACCTTTCAAATGACACCCATCAATTCCTATGAAATGCCTACACCCCTCCCAAAAATCCTCTTTTCTGAGCAGCAAAACTTACAAAAAATCTCTTGAATCTAGGACTTTGTGGGACTATTTCTCTAATTGTAAGATTGTCTGGGTCTTCTTCTCTAACTAACCTAAGTTCTATCATGGATCTAGAGTTGGTGATTTGAAGAATGTGGTTGTACTTGAACAACCAGACAAAAAACTTAGCATGTTGTTTTTGGGTCATTCCGATGGCTAACCTCCTAGCCCTATACAACTTCCTTTTATGTATCTCCAAAAAATGCACCCTTCCTAATTCAGCATCTAAGGGTTTAACACAACTCCCCTTGTGTGATCGAATGAATCCCCCATCTTCTTAGCAATCCATGAGGCAGAGGCATCTGGGTTTTTATATACTCTAAAGCATGTGTGGTTGGTTTCATCTTTCCTAATCTCCCACGATTGTTTGTCAACCATTAAGGCTGCATATAGAAAGAATGGGTAGCCCTCTTCTTTACACACTGTTTTGATCCTTCGCTTGTCATTATTTACCCTTCTCACTGTAAACCCTCTCTAAATTATGTAGTCCTTGAAAATTTCACTAAAATGGATTTTATTTCTAAAAACCTGCCCCACCTCAAATTTAATTTTCCCATCTACGCCATACTGAAACTTACTTGCTTTCATATGCCTACTCACTGCATCCTCATCCTCACTAGCGCCGCCCGCCCCCCCCCCACCCAAAATGAGATCGTCACTGTTTTTCTCGTAATCAGATAGATGCCCCCCAGTTTTAGCCCTTACATCTCCCTTATTATCACTAGTTTCAGCCCTTTCCTCTCTCCCATCACCTCCATCATTATCACCAACCTCACCATCAACATTCCCAGCTGCACCAGCAAATCCATTACTGCTTTCATCATCATTGGAGGCATCACTCCAATGGAAGTCATCCTCATAATACTCTTCGGGGGGAATTTCTGTTTGAGTGTCATTAGGTTTAGTATGGTTGGGTTCCGGCAAAGGTTGCAATGATTCCACACACTATATAGGTAAAGCTTCAACATACAAACTAATGTCCTTTAACCCCTCGGACCTATATTGCTGGAAAAGGAATGTCACATCCTTATCACTATCTATTAAACATTTCTCCCCTAACAATGGTATTAGTCAAGATAAATCAATTCTACCAAAAAAAGTAGAAAATGTCAAGAATGAGAGAGTCATGCATACATATATGCATGCCTATGTCTGTGCCCAAATGACTTCCAAAGTAACAAGTAAATTAATTATCTGAAATAACATATGTTTTTTAAATAACCATGTCCATTTATGGTAATTACTAGTACCCATTAAGTATTAAACACAATTTTTTTTTCTGAAAATCCTATCATTTCATAAGCCTTTAAACAATATATATGTCTGCCTAGATATGATATTCACACATACATACATGTCCAAAACCACAGAGAGCATACGGTATAGAAGATCAAATGAAAGCAGACTATTTTCTGCCTATTCTCAAACTATCAGGCTGACAGCATGACAAACTTTAACAAAAAATATTTATCGGAGGGAAATTATAATGTATGTAGTTCAGAGAGGTACCTTAAGAAAATGGAAGCAAACTGTTTTCTACCTACTATCACACTTTGTTGATTGTAAAAGAGACATTGAAGGTTTAAACCTGACTGATTCTCCACCTGTCGTGGATACAAATTTGCAAAGTCAAGAGTCAAGAATATAAAATATAAACTATAAAATGAAAGAGAATGAAGATAGAGACAGAACA